AATTTCAAGAAGATTTAACCTAGGACCCTTATCGCAGATGTGAAGAATTTCTGAATTAATATTGACATCAAAGAAGTGATTAGAATCAATAATGTGATTGGCAAACGAAGATGGGGAGTTAGGATCAACTGCAGTCAAGAATTTGTTAATCAGTCTATTGTGTTCAGAGAAACGAATCTCAAAACTTTTACCTGTTTGACCTATATAAGCAGCATTACAATCATTGCAATTCAATTTGTAAACACCAGATTTTTTATTGAGGGGGATCCTGTCTTTGGAATTAATAAAAATATGTTTAAGATTAGAAGTAGTTTTGAAAGAAATACGGATGTTCAGATTTTTGAAAAGTTTTCGGACATTATACTTTCAGGATTGCAAAACTTTTCAAAAATCTGAACATCCGTATTTCTTTCAAAACTACTTCTAATCTTAAACATATTTTTATTAATTCCAAAGACAGGATCCCCCTCAATAAAAAATCTGGTGTTTTTATAAATTGAATTGCAATGATTGTAATGCTGCTTATATAGGTCAAACAGGTAAAAGTTTTGAGATTCGTTTCTCTGAACACAATAGACTGATTAACAAATTCTTGACTGCAGTTGATCCTAACTCCCCATCTTCGTTTGCCAATCACATTATTGATTCTAATCACTTCTTTGATGTCAATATTAATTCAGAAATTCTTCACATCTGCGATAAGGGTCCTAGGTTAAATCTTCTTGAAATTTTGGAAATTCAAAAATGCATTAATAATCAAAATGTTTCATGTCTCAATGATCAAACTAATTTTGAACGTAATCATATTTTCAGAACATTACATTTTTCATAATTTCTGCTCGTTCCATTCTGGTAGTTGCTACCCCGCCACTGGAATTTCCGAAGTAACAATTTTTCTCCTCTTCTTCTTTTGTTTCTGTCTCTTGTTTCTCCACTAGACGCTACACTTACTCCTCTTCTTGTTTCTGTGACTTTTCTATTTTCTCCTCTTCTCCATGGTTTCTCTTCACCTTGACTTCTTTCTCCTTTTTCTTCCTCTTTTCTTCTTCCTTCTTAGGTACTTACTTCTCTAGTTCTGTTGTTAGTCTATAACCTTCACTCTTGTTTGTTGTTCCATGTACAACTGTCATATGTCAAAGTCTCTGTTGACCATCAAATTTGTCTTATTCTGTTATTGCTTTTAGCTTAGCATGATTCAAGTTTATAAAAAACAATTTTTCGGATAAGATGTTCAACCTTATCAGAGCCAGTTTTTTCTGGCTCTTCAGTAAATTTAAAAATAGTCATTTGTGTCTGAGCCTGATAACCCGGTGATGAATCTCCTGCCATACAACATGATTTTCCTTCTTTCTCAACTTAATTTTTTAATGATGTTATAGTGTGCCCATAATTTTGTCGGTAGGTTTTGTATTCCTTCTTTCTTCATACTGTATTATCTAATTTATATTTACAGGTACTTTTTGTCTGATGATGGCCGTTGTGCCGAAACCGGTAACATGTATTTGACGATATAGTGTTATATAAATGTGTGGTCGACTGACTTTGAGTCTTTTGTTTTTTCTTTTGAAATTTTATTGGACCACTTTGAGATATGGATGATTTTCACGATATATCTAGTATATTTCGAAAATCGCGACCTCTAGGAAGGAAATATAGTAATATAAACCGAACAACATAAAATTCTCTATAGAAAAGTTTTCTTTCAATTTTCGTCTGTAATGAATAGTTTTTGGAATACAGTGGAAGAAAAATCGAGAAGTATCAAAATAAGAGTTTTTCTGCAACCGACACAACAGTCTTCGGTTTTAATACGAATTGTTACGGTTGGTTATTTAGGTTGGGACGCATACCTGATTTGTTTCCGATTTCGGCAGGTTTTTCATTCCATACCCATGGGATCTGATTGATTATATAACTTGTTTTCGAATAATCATGGCATGCAATACTTTTTTGTCTTATACAACGATATTGTTTACCTTTATTCGAAAACTGAGCCAAACAAAGTGGAATATGGAGAGAAATAAATAACCGCTTTAATTAAAGTTGATATGCTCACAAACCCATTATTTTCCACTTATTTCTCTTATCCCTGGCGCAGTATTTGCTATTAGAGCTGACTGATCGAAATGGATTAATCGAGTCAATGGAATACAAAAAAAGGTCACTCTGTGCCCTATAGATGTTATAAAAATTTGAACTACAAGTTGAACATCCTTGAGAATTCAATAAATCCGATCTGTAAATACAGGTAGAATATTCTCACCATACGGATCATTTGTTATATTGCATAAATATGGCACGGCATCCACGTTTAGCAAATGAGTTCGTATGTGTAACAAAGGAAAGTATTCTGAGGTGTTGCTTCTATCTATACTTCATATAATCATGATAATCTGTCAAGTGAGTTACATTGGTGGTTACTTCCCTTATATTCCCTTATATTCTTTCGGTTGCAGAAAAAATAGCAATCTACAATTAATAGTATGAAATTCTTGTTCCATGTCTCACCACTTTCCGGCGTTTCATGTAATATATATCTTCTGCTCTCATCAAATGATGACAATCAGTGAGTTTTTTAACTGATTAGGTCCTCTATGAACAATGGCAGGAAAGTGTTCAATTTGTGATTACGATGTTATCAGTCATTACGGTGAAAACAACTCTCCAGATCAGACAAACCATCCACCTGGGAACGAGCCAGACAGTCTAATGAACGGAATCCTTCTGGTGGCTGTATATTCTATCAATTTATAAGACACTACATGTAACATTACCTAATTCACTGATTCATTTTTAGTATAAATCAAATCATGTACTTCCTGTGAATGGGTATAACTTGCTGTATGTATATTAAAATAATAAAATGAAATAAAAATAGGAAATTTATCCATCACTTCCCATCCACCCACTGGTCTGGACATTTTTTTAGTCGTATCCAAGATTATCATTCTCAATATTTCACAAAGCCAGATCATTGAAAATATAACGACCAAACCTCTTCCACCAACTACTAGTTGAATACTCTTCTTAAATTCAAGGTATGCAGAACATATATGCTTGTCAAAACTGTGGAAGGACATACAAACATCATCCGTCATTATACAGGCATATGAAATACGAGTGCCAAAGAGAAAGAAGAGAGTTTACCTGTGACATTTGTACTACCAGCTTCAGGAGGAAAGATCACTCAGTACGTCACTATAAAGCTAGCCATTCTTTAGCAATACTAAAATTGTGATATTTTTTCATTATCGTTTCTGTTTCAAGAACCTTCATAGTCCACACTAGACCAAAGTCTACTTGATGAACTTTTTATACAGGGCTTCCTTTTCAGAACTTACCACCCTGCATATCTTCTGATCTGCGAAGATTACAATTTTCGAAAAAAACACGTCGATTCAGATATCGAGGTTGAAGTAAAATAACAGTGTTCATCCCCTTCATCCCCACACACCCCTACTATGAAATATCAAATGGCATCCCCTACTTTGAGATACATAAAATTGAAGGTATATCAATGATTAAATCAACCAGGTGAAAGAATATTTATTTCGTATACAGGGTGAGTCATGAGGTACTGTACATACTCCTACCACGAACAAATCCAATGGCCATCTGGAGTTTAACCTCCTCTTCTATACAATAATGAACAGGGTGATTTTTAGGCTTGTGCGAATGCAGACAAATCAATCGGGAAACGTTTCAAAAAGTTCGTGAAGAATTCGATAATAGGCTGTACTATTGTCTAGAGGATAATGAAGCACATTTTGTGCAAATGCTTTGAATACTACTCTGAAAAATTGCATTTCTTCTTAGACACGACTTGTCAAAATGAATCATTCTAGTTAGTTTTGAAAGGAACTAGTAGGATATACCATTCTCAGCTGGATGAAGCACCAACACATTTTGTTCTGATTGACAGAAAAGATGTCATTGTTTACTGAAACCATATACAGGGTGGCCCACGGTTGATGGTACCTTAGACGTATACGGAAAACGGTACATTGGATTATACTGAAAATTTGGTTACTCTAATGAGCGTTTGTGTTCTAACGATTCAAAATATTTTCAGCGATGCAGCGTTGCCACTTTTACCAAAAAGTAGCATCATCTTTGTTATGTCAAAAGGAACACCCTGTGTTTCATTGCGTTTTTAGATTCTTCTCGAAGAGCTGATTTCATCAATGCATCACACTTGGGGTCTAGCAGGAATTATTACAGAGATATAGGGTGTTCAAAATCGAGATTTTTCAATTTCAGGAATTTTTTGTGTCGAAACTATTCATCATGGGTCAAAACGGCTCACATGTTCCTATCTCAACTTTTGATTCCCTATCTACTGACATTTAATTGGAACAGATACAGGGTGATAAAAATTCTTAATCTTGGATCATCCTGTATGTTCTAGAATTAAATGTCGGTAGATAGTTAATCAAAAGTTAATATAGGGACATGTAAACCGTTTTGACCAATGATGAATAGTTTCGACAAAAAAAAAATCCTAAAGTTGAAAAATCTCGATTTTGAACACCCTTTATCTCTGTAGTAATTCCTGCTAGACCCCAAGTGTGGTGCATTGATAAAATCAGCTCTTCGAGAAGAATCTAAAAACGCAATAAAATACAGGGTGTTCCATTTGAAATAACAAAGATGATGCTACTTTTTGGTAAAAGTGGCAACGCTGCTTCGCTGAAAGTACTTTGAATCGTTAGATCACAAACGCTTATTAGAGTCACCAAATTTTCAGGATAGTCCAATGTACCGTTTTCCGTATACGTCTAAGGTACCATCGACTGTGGGCCATCCTGTATACAGAATGAACTCTTTGATAGCTGGCAACATTTCACGAGTACGGTCCTGGATTTTGTTCAATTCCATGAGAAAATGAAATGAATCAAAGAAGCTGTTGAAAACTTAGGGACGAAAATATATTTCTTTGCCCAATCCTATGGATCACTCTGTATATTATTGTAGAAGGAGAGAAAACATTGTGGATAGCCATGTGGTATTTTCCTCAGGGGCATCTGTTCGTGGTGGGAGTACGTTCAGTTCCACATGACCCACCCTGTATGCAAAATGAATTATTTTTCACCTGGTTGATTTCTTTATTGAAAATTGAAGACTGTAATCTTCGCAAATCAAAAGATATGCAGGGTGGTGAGTTTTGAAATGAAAGCCCTGTATAATTGGGTTTATAGAAGTATCTCTCTATATATTGAATGACAATTTTGAGAATAATTATATATTTTATAAGGAGAGCGTTTCTATTGAGTCATCCGATTCGTGATATCATTGTTATACAAATATGAATAGTAATGTTCAATAAACGATTAGTACAAAACATGAATTTATTGATTTATTTTTTCATATAGGTATATTGAATATTGAATGCATTTAACTATTAGATCGTTTGTGCTGGAATTTCAGGCATGTTTTCTAGGTTGCAGTCAATTGCAGTCAACTGTGACAAGATACTCAAAATAGCTACTAGAAACCTTTTGAAAATCATGTCCTGTCTATGAATTCCCTCAGTCACCTATGAGTTATCGATTCAATTTGTCAAATTGCAACTATCTACTTTTCAATAATTTTTCTAATTATCAATGAGTTAGTTCTTACGTCTTTAATAATATATAAGAAATTTTGTGAGTACAAAATTGAAGATAACATTAAAATTCCTTTACCCATAAAAACAATTGGTGTTCAGACGCGCAGGAACGCTATTTCAATGCATGGTGGATGTTTTCTGAGGGATAGTTTTTTGTAAAAGACAATTGAATTCTTGCTTCAAACTTCATTCTTCTGCATCAGATTTTTTCCAACCACTCAAGGAACTAGATATAACTGAAAAGAGTTGAAACAGATTATATTCACTCATATATACAAGTGATTGTTCCTATTTCCCACTCATAAACATGATGATCCCACTCCGAATATATACTCTTGAACATTTCGTTATTCGAAAATAAATAACTACATTGTCATTTGAATTCATCATCATTCATTATTTTCAGGGAGCATACGCTTTAGAAATGGATATTTTCCATGTGGTATCTGCGGAGCTACTCTCACCAGATTGGACAACTTGAGAAGGCACCAAAAAACTGTTTGTGCTGGATTAGTACCAATTTTTCAGTGTGAATTGTGTCCATTTGTATCTAAACATAAATATAACCTACGAATGCATGTTAAAAGTAAACATATTAAAAAAATTGAATTCTGATTTGAGTCTATAGTGATTTAATTATCTATTTGAATTTTTTCCAAAAAATTTTATCATAACAGATCAGAGGATATACTTGAAATGAAAGCCTTGTGTGAATTCTCTAGTGATGAATCATGTTTTATCCGCAAATCGTATACCTATTTACTTTCGCGATAAATTGAGGTTTCGATAGAAAATATTTCCTACAAAGTACGGTTATGATGTTTCAGTGTCGCGATGTTTTGTTGTAAGTATACGAAATTCGATACTACTGGTTCACTATCTGTGGTAATAATTTATTTTATAATAGACCACTTTTCCGACGAAATATGATTATGATGATTTCCTACCACGATGTTGATCAACCACTCTTCAAATGATATGAAGGAGCATTTGCACCGAAATGCTCCTATTACTCCTATTAGTTACAATTTGGTGAAAAGTCACTGTTCTAGGAGAAAATTGAAAACATATCCATAAACAGAGTCTTTCCGGATCATCATTATACAGCCCAGCGAGCACAAACATCCCTGGGATGTTTTGGGATGTTTTGAAAATGTTGGCATGAAGATGTTATTTTGAGACGTAATATGCACTGACCAAAGAGGTCTTTGAAGGATATTGAAGTATTGTTTTTGTTCTTCTATGGCATTTCTTTGTTTGCCTACTGAGAGGTATTCCTGGGATGTTTTGGGATGTTTTAGAAATGTAGGCATGAGGATGTTCTTTGTTTGCCCCACCACAACGTCTCATGCTTACGTCACAATACAGTGAATTCTGATTTGTTTTCGATTTTGCTCTTCTCGTTCGCAATTGGCATTCGCGTTTGCAGCGTGTCACGCTTACATCATGCTGCTAACGAACAGAAAGGAATTTGGTGAAGTTTATTGTGTTAGAAGACTTATTTAGTTTGTAATAATGACCATCAGATATATATGCAAGATATTTTGTTCGGTGCCTCAGTGTAATCAATAGATAAAAGTACGAATTTATCAATACACAGCTTCTCCGCAGTTGCAAAATTATGCATTGTGGAGAACATTTCAAAAATTGGGAAACCTATTTCCAATTATATGTCTGTGTGTTATAAGCACTACTCAGAAACCGATTGAGAAACATATCAAGAAAATATTTTTATGTTCAATCTATTCTTACTGCATTTTTTCATTCAAGGGAAATGGAATCGTAATGCAAAAGTTCATTGTGACAAAAGGCTTCAGAAAAGTATCTCGAAAATGGTTTTTTCACAGCGATTTAATGTGCGCAAGACGCGTTGAAAATGTTTTGTTGTGTCCATGAAAATGCTTTAAAAAGAACTAGGGAGAAGGTAGTTTTGTGACATATCAAGGACATCTCGATAATTGCCGCCTGCGGCGGACATTGGCTGTTCTGTAATAGTTCTATTCATGTGTGAACAGAACATCGCAGTGGAGGTTCAATGTCTCGAAATCTCGTACTTTTAACATCTCTGAGATGTTTTTGTGCTCGCTGGGAGTGTAATTCATAAAGTCGGCATCATATGGAAAAACTTTCGATAATAACTTATTTCAAAATTCGACTTGGGCGTTGTTTCGCTTTAGAAAAGATTATAAATGGACTACCCGGTCGAAAGTTACATTATTCCAACTCGATCATTAAAAAAGGCTTATAAGTTTGAATTTCAAGCAAGTTTGAAAGGAGGAGTTTCTCCTTCAATTTTACATAATGAATCTCGTATTTGAACGTTTTATTACAAAACTTTCAGTTTTTGATATTTTTCCAATTCCTGGGAAATGTCTGTTATATTGAAAAAATCAACAATGACAAAACAATTTCATTCATTTCATTTTACTAACTTCCAAAAACTGATTTTCGAAAAAAATATAATTGCTTCAAAAAATTATATTTATCGCTTCTGTTACGTTGGATTGGCATCAAACAGTTGATGTATGGTCGGTATCATTCAGGAGCGAAATTTATGTGAATTGATTTTTTCAGTAATGTTACTCTTGACATGTAGCGAAAGTAAGTCACGTGACTTCGACAAAATAGTCCATATTGTAGCGAAACATAACGACCAAAGCGAATGTCAAAATAAAATATTATCAAAAGTTTTCCCCATATACTTATTATGCCAACTTGATGAATGACACTGCCCAGAATTCGCTATGAATTAATGTTATTTTTATTCAGTTCCAAACATACTTCATCATACAGTTACAGTTTTATTCATCAACTGTGGTTTGAATACACAGGGTGTTTCCAAAATGTTGCATGAGACATGTTGACACGATAAATCACAAATACGTTCTGATTTCTTTAAAATGTACGCCCTCACTATATTATATAATTCCAATGTCATCAAGGCTATTATTGAACTTTCGGCAATTGTTACTTTCGGTGCTTCCAATTGTGGCGAAAGCATACGCTTGGGTTCAGCAATTAAACTCTGATCAATGATTCATAAAAGTTTCAGGGAAACATTATCCTGTCGAAATGATTTGTTTTCGATAAAAAAATATTCCTTCGAGTGGGATGATCAGATACATCGCAATTATTTCGTAAACACTCTACAAATCATTGAGGGTTCGTTCAACAATTTCATTTCTGTTGCGTATTTTAGGTGACTATGAACATCAGTGTCAACAGTGTTTCAAAAAATACAAATATAAATGGAATTTATTGAGACATACTAGATTCGAATGTGGAATGGCCCCTCAGTTTGCGTGCAAAATATGCGCGAAGGCTTTTACCCAAAGAAGCAGTCTCAAATCACATGTGGCATACATTCATGGTTATCATCTGACGATTGATTGAGCATTTGTATAATGTTAGATCGAATATCCGATCCACTGATGCATGGCCCATAAACGATTGAAAAAAATTTAATTGAATCCAATTCCCAACTCCTACTGTTTTCATTATAATAATAAATATTTGAATCTATATTCATATATCTTTGTTCTCTAAACCAGTCGATAGGGCTGCAAGCCGCCAAAATATTCTTTCGAGTGAAGCATTTCGTCAAAATGGAAATGCACAATTGGTTTCATCAAGAACTGAATTCTGATGAATGTCAGTCAAATTTGTGTCATTATTTTCCGAATATTTGTTATACTTCTGAGACATTTTGTGTCAGTATAATTGGAAGGCAAAGAAATGATAACACACAATCATGGATTGACACAAAGTTGTATGGACCTGGAGATTGAATCAACTCAAAAATTTTTATGTGATATTCACTGGAATAAAATTTCCAAAATTTCATGAAAAGTGGTAAAGAAGTAATGTTATAAAATTTTCTCAGATGTGTAACTCTACTGTCTCTACTGTTAACTCACCTAATTAATACGGTGAATTAGTTTTCAGTATGGACGAGAAGAACATCCCGTATAACATAAGAACTAGGACGTATATCACCGAAACGCAGACCGCTTTTCTGAAGAAGACTTACAGTGTTAATCCATTTCCTGATATCAATACAAAGAAAAAACTTGAACGAGAACTGGGTCTTCCCTATAAAGTTATTGCGACCTGGTTCCAGAACAAGAGGAAAAGACAAACTTATAAGTGAAATACGATCAAGATCACGACACATTTTCAGGAATAAACACGAAACTGATTGAGGTATATCATTCAAAAACAGAATATCCACTTTTGGCGCTGATTAACGCAATCGAATCATTCTAGTCTAGAATGGAATCATCCACAGTGAATCAACATTTTCAATATCACTGTTGGAGTCAGCATCTTCTCTGTGGGAATCGATCATTGCATGAGAAATATTTATGTTGAAATTTCTTTCACATGAAATAAAAACTGCCGAAGAAGAAGATATTTGTTATTTATATACACCAAGGCGGTAGAAATAGTAGATTGTTTTATTAGGATCAAAAGTGACACTTTGTTTGACAAGCGAATTTTGCATTTGCGAGGCGGAGCGTTTAGCGAAGCCGAGCGAAAGCAAAATTTGCGAGTCGAACAAAGTCACTTTTGATCCGAATGAAACATGCTATTTTTTCTGCAACCGAAACAATTAACTCAAATGAACATGTGAAGTAACCACCAATGATGTGCCGTATTATGTACGGAATGCAACAAATATTGACGAATAATCCATGTGGTGAGAATATTCCTGCATTAACAACAGGTTAGGTTTTCTAGGATGTTCGAATTGTAGTTTCAATATAAATACAACCACAAAGTGATGGCAAATACCGCGCCAGTGCCAGCTATAGGAACAATACGTGGAAAATGTTAGGTTAGTGAGCATATCAACAATGATAATACTGATTATTTATTCCTCTCCATACTACACTGTGATTGACTTGATAATCAGATGAAGCTAAACAATATCGTTGTTTGAGACAAAAAAAAACTATTGCTTGCCGTGATTATTCAAAAACGAGTTATACATCCCGAGAATAACGAAAGAAATACAGATCAAGCAAGTATTTGAATCTTGAAGGCTTCCCTGATCAAAACAAAAATACTTAACTGAGATGTTTATAATTCCAATACTAAACTATAACAAGGTGTATTTATATCTCCAGCATGGGTATGAAATGCCAAATCTGCTGAAATAGGAAACAAATCAGGTATGCGTCTCAACCCAAATAACCAACCATCACAATGTTATTTATTCTTGATGATCCAGTAGATCCTTTTTAGTTCCTAGGAGCTAAAGTTCAACTTTAGCTCCTTGGAAATAAAATTCAACTTTAGCTCCTAGGAACTAAATGTGTTGCCTAGCAACATACCTATTTTTGTGTCAGTAATAGAAACGTCAATTTAAGAGCTAATTTTGGTATCAAAATGGACGACTTTTGTGTCGGTGGCAGAAAAATATCATTTTTATCCAGGGACCAATCCCGATTCTTCAGCCAGCAGTATTATGCCCCGTGGCAATGATATTCTTTACTAACAAGGTGTATATTACCTGTGATATTACATATTTTTCACCACTTACATTATATTTCAACCATTATAGTTCCTTGAAAATGAAAGCAATCTCTTTCAATACCAATGAAAATCTAGTAGCGATGACCATGACAGCATCTGAAAAATCATTATTGATAAATACCTATACTAGATTATGTCTTTCTTGCGAATCTCGCGTCAGAATAGTGAATTCTAGGTAATTATAATAGTGGTGGCCATGTCTTTATTGACTATGGTAGTTCATAGAATGACGAAAACTACCTCAGTAGAACAAACAACAAACCCACTTTACACCTTGGAAAGGAGTAAATAATGGTAGGTTCTATGACTATCGGTGGAAAATAGCTTTTTATTCAACAAGGAGGGAAAAGTATTCATTTTCTACTGCGTCTGAAGTTGAATCAAACACACTTGGTAGGAAATGAACATTTGCTCTCATGATATACCGAGTGATATACCAAGTGACACTCACTCATGTTATATACCCGCCTTTTCTCCTTCGTTCTTCTAGCTTTTTTTTTATATTTGAAACATTGAATATGCTCACTACAAGGCACACTCTCACATTTTAGGAAATTATTGTCATTTTCCGGTTTTCCTGGAAATGACAATTTCCGATTTTCAAATGGAACACTCTGTATCTCATTTCATGATCGGTTAGATAACATTTTATCGAATTAAACAATACTGGGTTCGATAGGGTTATCTCAAACGATAAAGAAGATATTCGCGGTCAAAGTTTCCATAAGCTCAATGTGTGCAACAGAGAAAGGAGTTTCGATATATTGCGCCGTCACCATGCACAGTTGCCATAATTCTGTTGAAAAACGATTAGGTCTTCAGGAATAAGGTATTCAATAATTCCTAAATTCTCAATTTTGTATTTGGTATATTACTAATAAGACATAAAAAATCAATTTTCCCAAAATATTTCCTCATCTGTTGTGGCCCACTGCTTTCGCACTAGAGGACATTCGAGGGTGAACTTGACAACACGGTGCACGAATTGTGGGCGGTGCCTTGTCAGTTCTCAGCATTCAGCACACTGTTGCCAAGTCTTCAACATCAACAAGATATTTTGTTATGGAGTATAAGAGATATTTGAACATGATGGTTGCTCGAAAAAGTCAAGAATGTACTATATATCATGGATTCTCCATACTATGTTTTATCTCGTGTTTCATTCAACGACAGGACTCTTTTTGTTAAATTGGTTATAATTGGTGACTCGACAACCTTGCTTCATGACTGGTAGGTAATGAAAGAAATAATGAAACATCATAAAAACTGATGTCACCATTTATTCGACATTTCTCCAAATGGCGGCCATGCCGGAACGTTTGAAATGAGCTCTAAAATTCAACAGTTTTGAACAACTTTTTGATTCATTATTGACAAAAAAGCGTTAGACGTGTTGCAAAAATTAATTCAGGTCCCTAACGCCACAGTGCATGGAGTAATTGTAAACCAATAATTCATCATCAGTTCACTCGCCCATTGTTCGATGGAGTTTGGACAAGGAATAATCAATATATCAGAAGGGTTAAGTCAATAATATCAACATTATAGCATGCGAGATTGATAATATTTATTTTTCATTTCAGGTTCGGAGTTTAATGACTTCAAAAATTCTCCGCTTGATCTTGATTGCGATGAATTCTTGGTGAAAACTGAACAAGCTGATGGGAATGATGAACTTTCCGAGAAAGGATACTCTGACGGTATGGCTACTGAAACTGATTTTTCACCTATATGAATAAAACAAAACTTATTTGTAGAAATCTTGACAAACGACATTATTTCTACAAAATTCCTGATAACACGAGATGTCCCGCTAACGGAGTAGCTTCTTCAAATGGAACACTCATACAATAAAATAATCTTATACTACCCGTAGGCCACACATCACAAGTTCTCCAGTCGGATTGATAACATGAGAATTAGTTGACTTTAATAATCGATTTGCAATTTTAGTTCAGATATTTGCAGTCCTTCAGCTAACTTTCTCGTTTAAAAAAGGAAACCACATTTTCCCACACAAGGATTGATTGGCGTTTTAACTCCGAGTTCAGACAACATTTTCTATTTCAATTCATCTATCACAGCTTCCATTCAAAATAAAAGAACCAAATTTGTGGTTGTGGCTAGCTGGTCTGGTAATCTAAGGTCAAAATCACCTGTGCGCAGGCTAGTTTAATCTTCCATTTTGGAGAGAATTCACAATATCTACATTAAAAAATCATCTACTAAGGAAACGAATTCGAATGTACTGAATTTCTGAGGTCTAATTATTGGTCGGTATGGGTAGGCAGTATATGTCCTTTGTTGGTATTTATGTACCAGGTGTACCACTAATAAAGGACGCCGGTTGTATTTCGGAAACTATTTGCCACACAGGTTTCGGACAAAAATATAAATCATTCCAGAATCACGTCATTTGACAGGTTGCTGAGGGGCAAACATTGTATCTTGTCAAGATATGTCATATAAAACCAGAATAAGTGGGATCGTTTCCCTTGGAATCCGAATTGGAACCAGAAAGAATCACATAATTGTGTTTGGTGAAACTGTTATTATATTGTAGATGTGGCAGGGATGGCCAGGGCTATGCTCATCAAAGGTAACCTCTAACAGATAGTTTGTGTGCCCCTCAAGAAACCATGTCAAAATCACGTGTTCTGGAATGATCAATTTATGATGATAGTGGCCAAAAGAAATCTCTGGAAATAATTGTCAAGATTTCAGGACAGACGCTAAAGGGCGTAATTGCATTGGCCAATTTGAAATACGGAAATTTGTGAGAATTTGGTATATCACTGTGAGTCGAAAACACTTTTTTTTCATGATCTCGAGTTGATTTCCAATCATTTCGATCGGAGAAAACTTGCGCCAGCTTTGCAAATAAATAAAGGAGGATAAGCTGAATAGCGCTATTAAAAAACTCTCATTACCACAGGTTGGTGTAAGGGAATTCAACAAAGTTGGTCCCATTATAAGATGATCCTACAGTTCTTTCAGATGAATCACAAATCTGGTCGATTGAAATCCCTTGGTGGCCGCTAGATGATACTTTCTGAAGAATCATACTCTGAAATGGAACTAGAGCAAACGAGAAAAAAATTGTGAAAAGTGCAAGTTGATCCATCTTGAGGAACCCGATATATAATTGAATAACAGTAGATAATTTAAATTGAATACGTTTTGAAATCAATAGTATAGATAGCACTAGCCTAAATGCACCCATTGTCTTCCATCATCTTCTATACAAAGATTGAGTCTTCGTCGAGTGGATAAAACTGCAGCTTCCACTTCGATCATCAGTATGCTTTCGACGGCAGTTCTGATACTATTGATCATATATCGTACCTAGTTGTTGGTCGGGTTTAAAAAACCATATCTTTCAATCTTCCTTATCAAGAATGACCTGAATATGACAATTCTGTAGACCTAGCCAGCCACCCAGAGATGTTATCTCGTCCTATCCACTTGCATGGATATCTTGGTGCATTCCAGTATGGAAAAAGGCACTGAATGTGAAAAGTATCTTTAGCACTCTCGAAAACGGTCCATGGAGAATGATGCTGAGAATATATAGTGGAAGCAGTAGATGTCATCTCGAATACTATACTACCTACTAATTGAATTGTTTGTGAAGGAGAGGGCAGGGACATACAAAGATTTAACAAATGGAAAAGCAACTAAAAGGTAAATCTATGGTAAAAGTCAATGGTATCTCAAAGTGGAGTGAATAGATTCATAAAAAGGTAAATGGTGGATATACGGCAGAGGTGATTGAAATACAGCACTGGTAAAGCATCGAGGACAACAAGACTTAGATGTGAGAACTTGGTGCAACATAAGATATGGAGTAGTGTGTTACCAGCTGTCCCAAGTATTGAGTGGTCATAGATGTTTCGGAGCTTATTTCAGAAGGATAGGAGTCACTCCAAATGACGCATGCCAGTACTGTGGAGGTGATGATACTGTAGCTCACGCTATGTTTGACTGCAAAAAATGTCAAAATCTCAAAAAAAAAAAACGGAAATGGAAGTAGGAATTTCTACGCCATATACCCTGATAGAATGTGTGATGAAAATTGAACAATCATGCAATAAAACTTCTGGTGAGATAAATGAATTCAAGAACATGAAGGAAAAAAAAACAAATTAACACACGTGTGAAGCAGATGGCAGAAAACAATAAAAAGATGATAGAAAGTGTAAAAGATGATATAAAGTAATGTCTTGCGATGGTTTCATATCATGTTTGGAGATTGATGGTGTTTTAGTTGTTGCCCGTATGAAAGTCCCACACATGCAGTCTATAAAAGATCTCACCTACAAGAAAAAACTATGGTGCAAGGAAGGCAGCCCCATGCATTTAGAGCATTCTGTGGACTTATTTGTTCCTATCACTGAGATGGGACAGTTCTGTGGACATATGTAAGGAAAGATGGGACAATCTGGGAATTTCTGGTCAAGTGACTGACTGGCTGCGCTGGGCTACGGATTGTTGGAAGATGCTCTGGCAACCAATTCCAATATGTGGGAATTCATGACGAGGGATGAATGGCATCGAGGTAATGAGATGTCTATAACGGGATCTCTGGGGAACAAAATGATATCTCAGAGTATAGCCTCAGCCCTGTGTAGACCAAAACCTTCCTTCCATTACTCGTAAGGAGGAAAAAGACTCTTGGCTTTCTCCATGGGCGGGATCTGGGCTCGGAACCTGAAAGAATAGAGTATCTCGATGGAACCTCTGGTACTGTGAACGGCAGTGCTCAAGGTTACTGTGATAGTATTTGAAGTTGCTCTCATGCATATTGGAAATAAGAATCATGGTCCGTTTATGGTGAAATCAATAACGACATATTCGAGTTGAAGTTCAATGGGCCAACAGGCTCAACTATCATCGGATATTCTGGTCAGACGAGCCTTGGGAGGGGATGGAGTGTTTAGTGAGTACCTACCACCTATGCAGGGTGTTTCATTATTTATTGAAAATATTTCAGAGTTGAAATTCTGGAGAAGAAATATGGAGAGCAAACAGAAAAAATAATCTGAATGAATTGTATGTTACAGGGTGTTCAACTATTCATTATATTCAGAAATTTTCAAATTATCATGTTATCACTTGCCCCTCTTGTACGCCTCTGGTAATAGCCAGAAACGTTTATTCTATATATAATTCAGTAGGCTGTAGCATCTACACTTTCCGCTAAATATGACAAAGAAACGTCAGTTAGTTTCAGAGTACAAGGCACAATTATTTTAAATTTCTTTGATGAAACATCCTATAACTCAGACAGGAATCAAATTCCAACCAGGTGATTTTGCTTGTATCTGCTCATTTTGTGATCAGGATTCTATAGATGAAATATTACCAATTAGCCATAAAACACCCATAGGGACTTCCACACTACCACGAAGAAAAAGGTCCCTTGTGGTGTCTATAAAAGATTTCGATCACCTCTGAAAAAAAAAGCATTTCTAAGTAATTAATATTTGCATCACTCCTTTCAAGATCATCAGTTGCACCAAATTTCAATGTAGATATTGTGCCTAATCTCGGAAATGCGAAATTAATCAGACTGCGCTCAATTCTAATCCTTTGGGATATCAAGTTCATTTAAGTTAGTAAAATCAGTCGAGTTTCCCACTCTACTCTTCTCTTTACTCTACTGTACCCTACCTTTAGTTACTCTACTTTACCCTACTCTACCCTATTCTACTTCACTCTACTCGACTCTAATGTACTCTACTCTATTCTACTTCACGCTACTCCATTCAATTCCACTCTACTCTACTCTACTATACTCTACTCTACTCTACTCTTCTCTACTCTTCTCTACTCTACTCTACTCTACTCTACTCTACTCAACTCTACTCTACTCTACTCTACTCTACTCTACTCTACTCTACTCTACTCTACTCTACTCTACTCTACTCTACTCTACTCTACTCTACTCTACTCTACTCTACTCTACTCTACTCTACTCTACTCTACTCTACTCCACTCTACTCTACTCTACTCTAGTCTGCTCTACTCTACTCTACTCTACTCTACTCTACTCTTCTCTTTTTTACTCTACTCTTCTCTGCTCTACTCTTCTTCACTGTACTCTTTTATACTATATAGTTTTTTATCAAACAACAGCTGAGTCTATACAAAAACATACGAAATTTGTTCCAGAAACTGTTGGGCGAAGGAGAGAATTCAGCAGTTCGGAGAGAGCAGCTCAGAAGAGGAGGAAAAGTAGTGGCCAAGAATATATGACTACCAGAGGAATCATCAGACCTGCCCGAACTATCAGAACCAGTTGTACCAACTGCAGACTGCGTTGCAATGAAATGCTTGATGACCAAGCAAGGCATGCAATTTTCGATAGTTTCTGGGGTCTGGGAGATACGCAGCTTCAGTGGAACTATATAGCATCAAGGGTGCATCGTCACCCCAAGAAATCTTGCAGTGGTCTATCGTCTAGAAGGAAGTTTTCTCACAATTATACGTTCGTTCAGTCGGGACAGGTGATCACGGTTTGCAAGAAGTTTTTTTTCTCAACGCTGAATATTACGGATAGAATGGTGAGAACTGCTTTGGATAGTGATGAATCCGACGAAAGAGTTACAGAGTAGAGGAAGGTTGCCTATTTCAGGCTAGCTTTTGAAAGTGATAAGGATATTCCTTTCGAAATTAAAATATCAACTTTTTTTTTCGCTTCATAACACAGGTCAATATGTAATTGAACATGATATAATGAACATAACATTCATCGTGAATCATTTTCGAAATTAAAAAAATAATCAAACTCGTAATTTTGTTTCTACTTCAAAAATAATCTCCTGATTTCGAATATCATCAATTACTACTCCAACATATAAGGAGCCAATTTGCAAAATTCATGCTGAAACCTGATCTTTGGAGTTGTCACATGTCAGTTTTGTTTTGTGGTTATTTAAGTGTGCAACATATGGGAATCTTTTTATTGAATTGCACTACGAAAATACAGACAGTGCCGAAAGTTGGTGCATATTCGGTTATCATTTTAGGTGCACTTAAAATGGTTGCAAGTCACACAGCATACAGGGTAGGTCAAAAAATATAAAAGTTACTCAGGAGTTAAGTACCCTTATTTCAAGAAATTCAGTGAAATGTTATTGAAAAAAGTTGTTTACAATTGAAAGTTATGCCTAGATACCGAAACATGGCCCCCTAAGAAATTTTTCAGCTTTTCAATTCTGTTCGTTAATAATTTCCCAATTTTGAATGTGCACATTGAATGGAAGTTTTTGAATATGCATATTATCATTAATGATGTTTTACCTTGTTAAAAATATGGTTTGCGAAGTTTTCAAGTTAAGCTGAATATCGTTGCAAAACATAGAGTTTGTGATTCCCTAAAAAAATTAAAATCCAAGTAAATTGCAAATATGCTTGAATCTGAACAAATTCATGGTCAACTGATTTTGTAATGATCAACTCATGAAAGTATTCAGGGTGAATATAAAAAAAATTACAAATTGGGAAATTATTCACGAACATAACTGAAAACCTCAAACATGTCTTAGGAGGCCATGTTTTGGTATTTAGGCATAATTTCCAATTGTAAACAACTTTTCTCAATAACATTCTGCTGGATTATCTGAAATGAGGGTACTTTACTCTCGAGTAATTTTTATATTTTTTGACCTACCCTGTATGCTGTGTTTCTTGCAACTAACATGATTACCAACTTTTGGCACTATCTGTATTTTGATTGTGCAATTCATTAAAAAGATTCCCATATGTTGCACACTTAAATGACCACACTGTATATATGTCATTTCAACTTGTGAATATCTTGAAATAGATAGTTCACAGTGTTGAGTTTTGCTCCGAAAAATATAAAAAATTGACTACTTGGTCAAGGTCACATGACTTCCACTACAGATGTCAAGATTGAAATTTCTCAAGTTGATCACCGAAAATAGGCTCATCTGTTCAAATTTTCAAAAAAATCACAGAAAACATTATTTGTTCCAATTCACCATTGGATAACAACTTTTAGATTTTTCCAATTTCTGCGGAATGTCTCTTATATCAAAAAATATCAACACCTACAGAACTATTTCATTCTAGTAGCTCCACCATGCTACTGAGTTTATTTCACTAATTATTGACAGAAATATTATTTTATTCATAAATTAATAATCCTTGCTTCGAATTTCAGTTATGTTTGATGCAAAGTTGATGTAGGTCGTCAATCATTCAGGAGCGAAATTTATTTGAATTGATTTTTTCAGTACAGAATGATGTCGAAGTCATCTATCAGAATATCATCAAACTACTCTACGGATCATACCAGAGTTCGGGACAGTTTTGTCGATGTTGCAATTACAATTCTTAGAATAAAAACAATTTCTCATTGTGAACTCTTTCGAAAATGTATCTTTTCACATGTAGCGAAAGTCGCGTGACCCTGAAAAGGATATTTTTCATAAATTTTCGAGCAAAACACAACGCCCAAGTCACATTTCAAATTGAGTTTTCATCGAGAGTTGTTCCCATATTTTGCCACTTCATGAATGACACTGTATACAAATCCTCATGGTGAATACTGTAGCAATATTTCACTTTTTCTCTATCAAAACTGCGATTGAATAGCACATAAAATGAACTATGAATGACATACAGATGTTTCTTTTGCCACACAGCGGAAGATTTTCAAAATATGGAAACACACAGTAAAGGTCAAAATAGACTATAGGTAAGTAGTTATCCCGCCTTTCCAGTCCAGACCCTCTTCCCCACCTTTCTCCAAACCACGTGACCGGACTGGGCGTGGTCTCCAACCAAATGCTGGCCTCTGATTGGCCTGTCGACATTTCCGTGGTGTTCCGTGATGTTTCAGTGGGCGTGGTGTCCAACCAAAGGCTGGCCTCTGATTGGCTAGTCGGGTCATGTTGTTGGGAGAAAGGTGGAGGGGGAGACTGGACTGAAGAGGCGGGATATCTACTGCGAACTACACTTTACCAACACTCGTTTGCTTCCAACGGCGAAGCTGTGGCATTCTTTGCCAATGGAAATATTCACAATAGCTAATTTCACCTCCAAGAGATTGTAACAATCCCAATACCTACCTCCTCCCCTAACTTCCTTGTTCGTCGAACATCAAAGGAATTTCCTTTCATGCGCTCCAAAATGAAAAAACATCGAAACAAATCTACTCGAAACTAGACCTAGTTATTTCTTGCATGTAAAATATAGTAAATCACTCGATGTTTATAGTTGTTTATATAATTTCATAATACCGTTTGATTATATTTCAGGAAAATTCTACTGCATAGATTGTGGCAAAACGTACAAACATCGCCAATCGTTATACAATCATAGAAAGTTCGAGTGTGGCAAAGATCCTTTTTTCCACTGCTTCAGATGTTCATATCGTGCCAGAAGAAAATATCATTTAGACATGCACATGGTTAAATGTGCATTATCATCTACCAAGTGAGCGATTTGATTTGGATGTGTTAAAATAGTTACCAGTTCTCAATTTGAAGTCAGTTCATCTATGAATAATGTTGTTTTTTAAATAATAAAGTAATTTTCAAATACAGCGACAGGACGTTTTCTTATAAATATTCAGGAAAGTATATATCAATTATACTTCGATCTTCAGAATATGGATTCAATGATATCTGCAGACAATCTGGGTGTAAGGCGCTAGAAGACACAACGTTAAGCGCCACCATGAAATCAAAAATGGTCTCACGGACAAATTTCATTTGTTGATAATGTCTACTTTTGAATTTATTCTTCAACTTATTGTCATGGAGCGATTCTTTTCTGAATGTGAAATTTTGTTGTTTTCATTCGTGACCTAACACATGTGCCATGCGGCCCTGAGAATCAAACTGCTCGTGAGGAGCCACATGGCGTTTATGTTGAGCCACGCAGGTCATGCTAATGAAGCACCGTCTCTCTCGAATCACCCCACGCGCATTTCTGAATATTTACAATATATATAATTCAACTAATTCATGTATCGATTTGTGTGACCAAGTGGAATTATATTCTCACTGCTTAACGCAGAGGGATGAAGTGATACAGGAAGCTTGCTACTGAATTACTTTTGTCATTCATAGAATGTTCATAGGATATCCTCCGAATATATTCGAATATTCTCAGAATAACCTCAGAATATGATACAAGTATTCTAGGGACATTCTTTGGACCATCATTCTGATTATACTGTTTTGAATATCCTGAGAATATTCCTGGTATATTGAACAAGGGAGGGAATAGAAGGATTGCATTCTTATCATGAATCTCACACCTGTTTTACTACGCCACGAACCTTATTGATGAATAATATGAATAAAGTCTCCTTTTTCACCCGCACCTACCTCATCTAAAATATTCGAACAATACATTCTATGATCATTCCTGATGAATATAATTGAATATTTGAGAAACATTCCTGAGATATTCAGATGGGATATTCTATGAAAACTCATCCTATCCTCATCATATATTCTATGAATATCCTTCGAAATATTTTGACAGAGGTATGTGGTGAACATTTGAGTTCGAAGAAAACATATGTCAATCTTCATTACGTATTAAATTGCAGATATGGAAGAACTCGAGCCCAAAAATAACGAAGAAAATCATGCCTTGGAAATGACCGATTCACGATTGAGGTGTGTCGTTTGCTACGAAAATTTGAAAAGAAGTGAAGGTCGAAAAGCAGCAACAAATAAAAGTAGACGAAGCAAATGGCAATGTAGTGTGTGCAAAAAGCACTATTGCGTTCAATGCTTTTTCAGTGTACATCCTGCGAGGAAAAAATAAGTGAGATTTGTTGTTACACACCATTTTCATATTTTGATCAAACTAATATTATCAATGGAAAACCCTGTGATTTGAAAAGAATGCAAATGTGAATCCCCGTTATCTGTATATTAGTTTCAAAACATAATTCCTATATTTTGAATAAACTGATATTATCAATGAAAAATACCTTTTTTCTTTATATATCTTCTTCAAGTTACAAATTGTCAAGACGTGTAAGAAAACGCACTGGACCAACATCACTACTGTTTAACGAATATTCTATCTACTGAGCTTTCCGGGCCACATATATTCAACATCCATAGATAAACTACAGAAGTGCAGTACACTGTGTGAGTCACGTACCCTGATGAAACCGGCTGCAGTTGGGCTCATTATGTGTGCCGCGAAGCCCATACAGAAACTACAGAAGAGCGGAACACTGTGCGAGCTATGAACCCTAATAAAACCGGCTGCAGTTGGGCTCAGTATGTGTGCCGTGAAGCCCATACAGAAACTACGGAAGCGCTGTCACTGTGCGAGCCAAATACCCTAAGAAAACCGACTCCAGTTGGGCTGATATTGTGTGCCGCGAAGCCCTTACAGAAACTACAGAAGCGTGGTACACTGTGCGAGCCACGTAACCTGATAGAACCATTTGCAGTTAGGCTCAGTATGTGTGTCGCGGAGCCTATAGAGAAACTACAGAAAAGCGGTACACTGATGAAACCAGGTACAGTTGGGCTCAGCCCAAATAACATTATCAGTTCCATTGTTAGCTACAGCATGTTGTTTCAGCCTATATTAAAATGCCTTTTCAATACTATCAAACTTTGATAATATCATTAAAACAATTAGACAACCTTCTCAAAACATAAAGGGCCCACCTTTATAAAAAGCTGTCACAGCTCCTCTTAAAGCTTATCATAAAACTAATAGGAATTTATTGTAGAATGCCTCAAAGCAATAATTGAACCTATCAAAACCACTTCCTTTGAAGCCTTTTAGCACGAGTTCAAACCTATATGCTTTAAAACGACAGTTCTTATGCCAACATTGAAACTTATTGTCTAGAATTAAAACCTTATCAGTTGCAGTTAGCATTTGTTGAGATAATATAGTCCGTGACGTGTTATATATGTGTCTTTTTTCAGATGGCGGATGGATATGATAATTCCCTACTGTATCAAAAAGTCCTTTTTGTGAAGATTGAGGCTGTAAAATCAAAAATGTTGAAAACAACATTTTCGACGGCAGTATCAATGCATCTTTCCTATTTTCCGCTTGAAATTTCCATTTCCAACAATGGCCGACATCTGTTTGTTGTAAATATGGCGCAAAATATACTTAAAACCAATTTTCTTTCTCTTATGCTAGATTTGAACCTTTAGGTAATGATAAGGCATTCCATGAGACGATTTCCTCCTGTTGAAGTACTTATTGCATATTCAAATTCATTCTTATGATTATTTACTCCTGGATATGACAACAAAGCTTCGAAAATGATAAGATTGATTTAAGAAGGTTATGAGATGATGCCTTCATAAACCTATAAAGCTTTGAGAATATCCTGGCTAGTGCTTATTGGCAGTGTTGCAAAAATAGAAGAACGTCATCAACATGATTAACATAACCCTACTTTTGTTATTAACAGTGTTCACTTTGTGAATTTTGTGATTGGTTTGAAGTAGGAAATCGACTAGGAAACATAAACATAGACAAACTATATATACTCATTGCAGTTTGCCTGATATTGTGTTGAATGCTCCATTCTTTCAAATCCATGTTGAACCCAACATCTGACATAATTTGTGCAAAACTGTTGTCAACTTTCTCGCTTCCTAGTTCACTTTCAGAAGCACGATGATCATAAGTATTTTCCATTACGTTCTGACTCGTTGATGGTACACCTCGGTCATGTTAGCTCCCGGCCGGCCAGCTCCAAGCGGCACTTTTCCACCACCGGTCAATTTTCGTTTTCGCATTGCTCTTCGATCGTTTCGTTCGCCGATCATTACTACTTCCTCTACTAATCGATAACATCCACGGATACGATGAATATTGATAATTTTTGTGTATTATTTCAATTGGAAAAAAATTTAGATACACTGTGCTCACCGTTATTCTTGAATTTCCAGATTTTTCATCCACCACAAGAAATTATCAGCCGAGAAGAAAAACAATCAATAGAAATCTCAGAGGGGTACATGATCAATACACAGAATCATTTTCGTTTCATTAGGTCAACCTCAAAAGGCCATTTACAAGGGTAGAATTGCTCGATGTCGAACCATTCGATATTGATTTATGAATTGTTTTATACCATAACAAATGACCAGCTAAAAAAATCAATTGATGGAAATCGTAAAGGGGTACATGTTCAATACACAGAATTATTTTTGTTTCATTAGGTCAACCCCAAAAGGCCAGCTCCAAGGGTAGAATTGTTCGATGTCGAGCTATTCGATATTGAATCCTGAATTTTTTTCTACCATAAGAAATGACCGGCCAAGAGAATCGATTAATGGAAATCGTTAAGGGGTACATGTTCAATACACAGGATTTTTTTCGTTTCATTAGGACAAACCCAAAGGGCCAGCTCCAAGGGTAGAATTGTTCGATCTGAAGCTATTCGATATGAATTCCTGAATTTTCTTCTACAATAAGAAATGACCTGCCAAGAAAATCGATTGATGAAAATCGTAAAGGGGTACATGTTCAATACACAGGATTATTTTCGTTTTATTAGGTCAACCCCAAAAGGCCAGCTCCAAGGGTAAAATTGTTCGATGTCGAGCTATTCGATATTGAATACTGAATTTTTTTCTATCATGAGAAATGATCGGCCAAGAAAATCGATTGATGGAAATCGTAAAGGGGTACATGTTCAATACACAGGATTATTTTCGTTTTATTAGGTCAACCCCAAAAGACCAGCTCCAAGGGTAAAATTGTTCGATGTTGAGCTATTCGATATTGAATACTGAATTTTTTTCTATCATAAGAAATGACCGTCCAAGAAAATCGATTGATGGAAATCGTAAAGGGGTACATGTTCAATACACAGATTTTTTTTTGTTTCATTTGGACAAACCCAAAGGGCCAGCTCCGAGGGTAGAACTGTTCGATCTGAAGCTATTCCATATGAATTCCTGAATTTTCTTCTACCATAAGAAATGACCGGCTAAGATAATCGATTGATGAAAATCGTAAAGGGATACATGTTCAATATAACAGGAATTTATATCGAATTGCTTGACATCGAAAAATTCTACCATTGGGGCTGGCCTTTTGCGGTTGACATGATGAAACGAATAAAATCCTTTGTATTGATCATGTACCCCTCTGAGATTTCTATTGATTGTTTTTGTCGGCTGATAATTTCTTGTGATGGATGAAAAATCTGGAAATTCAATCGAATAACGTGAAATCGTACAATTTTATCGTTCGCGCTGGTCCCTCAGAATAACGGTGAGCACAGTGTATCTACATCTTTTGCCACTTGGGATCATACACAAAGATTATCAATTTCTATCGTATCCGTGGATGTTATCGATTAGTAGAGGAAGTAGTTATGATCGGCGAATGAAACGATCGAAGAGCAATGCGAAAACGAATATTGACCGGTGGTGGAAAAGTGCCGCTTGGAGCTGGCCGGCCGGGAGCTAACATGACCGAGGTTGATGGTACTTCATGAACATCAGGTGGGATGAATTAAAAGACGCAGTGTGAGGAATTGCTTGGGCTTGAGAATTCTGATTTACTGTTGCTCTCACGACTTGATTTTTGATTCTTAAGTAATTTTCTTCATTTTTTTGCTTGAAGTTGGCATTATTCTTAATTTCACACTATTTATTTTCTTGTGAGTTCATTTCATCGTGAGTTGTTTGTAGGCAAAAAAGGAACATTTATATTATGGGATTTGAGTTTAACCAGGGCCTACTCTAGGTGAGATAGAATAGGCCCTGGTTCAACACGGTTCTGAATAAAACTTCATAAATCCTATAGATTTCATGATTAATTTCGATGAATTCATGATATAATATTGAGTCTGGCTGATGGGACCATGTCCACATAGCCATTGAAAAAAAAATCCTAATTGGCCTAGCGTAAATTCGGTTTTATCATTGCTTTATGACGTATTTTCATAGGATTTGTTCAAAACCTCTTGGTCAAATTCGGGACACTCATGAAACTTGAGTGTTTTGAGAGGGTTGTTGAGAGTAAATAGTTTTGATGAAGAATTCCAATGACTCTCACAGAGCTGTCTCAAAATCGAAGTGAGCTGAATGCCAAATTGTTTGATGCGATAGTTCTATCAAAGTATCTTGAAGCCTTTTAATTGGATTATATGGACATGAAGGCCAATATGCTTTCTCCAGGGCATTCATCAAACGGTAGAACAAATTAGACCTATCTCGCGTTCACATAAAGTTCAAAGTCTCATCGAAGTTATTGGACATTTAAAATGTTACTTGGGAGTGTAAGTGCCGTGAAGTTCATATAGAAACAACAAAAACGCTTTCACTGTGCGAGCCACCTACCCTAATAAAACCGGATGCAGTTGGGCTGATTATGTGTGCCGCGAAGCCCACACAGAAAATACAGAAGCGTGGTACACTGTGCGAGCAACGTACCATAATGAAACGAGCTGCAGGTGGCTTCAGTATGTGTGTCGCGAAGCCCATTCCGAAACTACAGAAGCGTGGTACAATGTGCGAGCCACGTAACCTGATAAAAGCGGCTGCAGGATGGGCTTAGTATGTGTGCCGCGAATCCCTGAGAACAAAACTGTATGTGGCACACGCATTGTACCACGTGGCGCTCAGGTATTGAGCTGATCGCAGGATACATCTGGCGATTAGTCAAACTTGCAATCCAAGCTCTGAATACTTCAAGCGTGCCCTTATAATTCCCAAAAACATGTAAGAATGTTGCCAAAATAGTAATTTAGATGAAGTTATGAAGAACTAACTGATTGATAAATGCTGAAGATGGATTGTAATTCTGACAAAACTAATAATCACTGACTTCGTTTTCATTTATTTTCCTGAATAATATTTTAGCAAGTAATTTCAAATGTTGTGTATCTGAATAAAAGAGCTAGATGCGTTCATGATTGTTAAACTGTTTTGAAAGGAATACTTGACATAATGATTAGTGTCAAACTATCTATACACACTGAGAGCAACTATCCGTTGTAAATACCTAAAGTTCACTATACCATACCAAGCGTTGTGGTTAAATCGGCGCCAGTCACTACATTCATCTAATATAACCATTGCAAAAAAGTATGATGCAATATGACATACTAATGCACCAGTTATTAGAGACCCTATCTGTACGGTTATTATTCACCACTACAAATGAGTTAATAATACTATTCAGCTCGTCGGTTCGTATTTACCACTACAAACAATAAATTTTTACTCTACTTATTTAATTCATATTTACCACTACAAACTAGTGATTTCTACTCTACTGTTCAATTTTGTCTGTTCAAACAATGGGTCTCAATATTTTTCTACCACCGTCAGGGACATACTTATTTGGAGAAAAAACTGGAAAATATCACAGAATCTCAATAATTTGCAGGTATGTTATGATAATTAGGTAGGTAGTAGAGATAGTTATCTGAGTATATGAATGAAGCTGGGAATGAGAGAAAAATCGAATTATTGTGTAAATTTGATTTTCGCGTTCTCCTCAATAAAGCGTGCAACATTCACCTGGTATTTGAGTTTCAAGATGAAACGAATAGTTATTTTACTTACTGTTGAACACCGGTAACAACTCTTCGAGTTACCACTATCAGGTACAGTTCACACTTCACAGTACCACAGTTTGTAGTTAAGTAGGTATACTTACACTAAACACATGTACTGCGAATGAGAACTCCATGGGCCAATGAAATTCATTTCATTCATGATTCACGAAATGAACGCAACGAAAGATGAACTATGAACTGATTAAACGACCACGCCAACGCCATTGCATGCATTGAACAAAACGAACGTGGACGATCGGCTTCGTGATTTCGGCATATTACTCTCTGATGTGGTAGATTTGTACATCACAAGAAGTAAACCTATTGATATTACTGTACGCACTAATACGTAGTGGTGAAAAGAAATATCAGGGGAGTAACATTCAACACAATCCTAATACCACTACATAATATACATATAGAGATATTTATTAGTTACTGGATATGGAACATGTTATTCGATGTAGTGGTGAATTATATTTGGACTATTAATATTCGGAGGTGGTATGCAATAGGTTTGTCTAAGTATCGATCACTCGAATAAGTGATATCACGAATATGTGTTGTGTTTGATGAAACTAATTCGAAACCACCAATACATTTAGTTATAAAAATGTTCATTCATTTTCTCAGTGCAAATATATTCTACTTTTTCATTCTCATTTCCAGGCCTGCAGTGTTCCAGATGCCAGAAATTCTATTCAAATGAAAATAGCCTACGAGTTCACCTCTACTTGGATTGTGGAAAAGAGAAACATTTTAGTTGTGGTTTTTGTTTTGCTTCATTCAAGAGGAAGCAGCATGTCATGAATCATATTGCTAGGAAGCATAATAACTAGATTTTTGTGTAAAGCTGCGACCACACCAATTACAGTTGTCATCACATGATTGTGATAATATGGATTTTTTATTTCTAACTAATTAATCGGTAGGCCACTCATTGAAATGGAAATTTGTACAAAGAATATATCTAGGAATCGTGAGAGTGTTTTGGGTTTTCCTCTTTTCTAATTTTGACTTCATTCTGAAAATTTGGGACGACACGATTTTCTCCTCGCAATATAAATGTCCTTATTCGATCTGACGACTGCTCAATCTCCTACAGTGTACAGGTTGATTGTTTTTATTCAACGCAATAGCAAGTATTCTGTATGACTATCGTGAACATTAACTAGTATTTCATGAAGAAGCATTCTTTTTTATCGATATGAAAATGACTCACGCCATCGTCAAATACCGTTTTCTGTGGAGGAGTTGATTTAACAACAGTAAAAACAAAGGAGCTATTTTTCATCGGATGGATTCCTCCAGTAATTTCATGAAAACAATGGACATGGAATCATTGCGAGACCAGCAATTTTGTCGAATGACAGTTTTTCGAGGGAAATTGCTGTTGGAAAATATTTGAATTAGTAAGAAAATGTCTCGGAAAATGTATTCAATCGAAAAAAAAATCGAGTGTTACTTGATAAGATATATCAACGACTATATTATACAAATAAACAACATCAATGATTACCTCAATTGATTATTTCGTGTGAATTGATTTTCCTATATTTTTTGTGGTTCCTTCTGACGAAATTTTCCTAAAACGCCTCATCTTGCCAATTGACGCTTGAACAATATCCATCAACCAAACTTGAGACGACAGAACTTGCGTGACGATGAAACAGGCAGTTTTATAGCGATTAATAAGGAAAAATGACTCACGTTATCGTCAAATAGCAGTTTCTGTGGAGCAGTTTATTGAATTGGAAAGAAAAAAAAAATGAATCTATATCTTACTGTAAAATGGTAAGATATCAGAGGTCCACTCACTCTGACTGTTGTATAATTCCAGATCTTGGTCCAACCTGGTGTAAAGTATGTGGAAAACTATTCAAGAACATCTATTCACTCAAGTCACATAGACGTCAACAATGTGGAGTAGAAGCAAGACACGAATGCACATTGTGCCTGAAGAAATTCAAGAGGTTGCAGAACATGCAGAGACATGTTATATTGGTTCATAGCAAAGGAGCTGTATAAAAAAATTAGCCTTTCATTGAACGGAATATTGTTTGGGAAAGTGATGTGGTTTTACAGATTGTTTATATATACACTTCTGCAAGGAAATAACGCACCAATAACAAGTTCAAAAGTTTAGGAAACATTTTCGTCAAAATTACTTGTCCGACTTGGGCGTTTTTTGTTTCAAATTACAAGTTCTGTTCTTCTGAACAATGGTGTGCACACTGTACTCGCATAAGAACCTCTCTTTTATGATTACCGTGTAGCTATTATAGCGTATTTTTTTCATAACAATATACCATTTGGAGTGTAACAGTTATGCTATCAAATTCAAATTAGAAGAACACTTATCTTTTCTCCACATTCCTTCTTCTGGTTTAACTTCATTCACCTATTATATTCGTCCAGAAACACGATTTCATAGCATAACATGATTTTATTGAATTCAATGGCATTATAAGTACGCAGATAGCAGGCTATGGCATGGAACTTGAGACCATAAATGGAAACTTCACATACTGTCTGTAGGTTAATCGAGGAGGTGGTACATTCATTATTCCAAATTTTTTGGGATTTTTTCTCCTCGTTTCTATAAAATAAAAATATGAATATTATTTCAATATACGTGTAGTAAGGACAAATCAGATGATTTGCCCCAAAATGTCACTGCGTTTAAAGAATTTTCCTATCAGAGAGCCTAAAAGAAAAATTCACTAGCTTGTCAGTGACAATTTGTATTGAAAAATTTTTGGAGAAGAGAAAAAATATCAAATTTTCACTCATCTTTGGACGTTTCGGGACCGATTCTGCTCCCGTTTTCAACATGAAGAGATTTTTTCAATTGCGAAGTCGTATATAATATGTCTTGAAGCTTTTCAGTTTTCAATGACGACAATTGGAATTCATTGCCTGTGGAAGTATTCCCGACAACATATAATCTCCAAAAGTTCAAGAAAAATTCCAATACCTACCTCCTGTCCCTATCCTCCCTAGGAACGCACGATGTTCTTTGAACATTATAGGGATTCCCTTTCGTGCGCTTCAAGCGATAAAAAAAAAAAAAAAAAAGGAGTTACGGGATGTTTTCATTAATTAATTTTAAATTTATCATTTTCATGTTCAGATTTTAGTAGTGAATACAATGTTCTGTCTATATCAACTGAACAAGAAGCAATGCTATCGTCTCCGTTCAGAAGAATGCAAGCAGATTCCTTGATTTTTCTCTTCTGGTTGTTATCTTCTTTTCCAATGATTTTAATATCATTACACTTTGCCATATGTTGTCCGTCTTCACTAACAAATTTTCAATAACGAAGTCCACCACATTAAAAATGTTCTCCAACTGAATTCCTATCCAAAGAATTTTGTCGATAGGACGATTCATCAAATTGAAAACAAACAGGGTCAACCACAACAAAATCAACCATCAATAACGACAAATATAATACCATACATTCCCGGCATATCTGAAAAAATAAAACTTGTTGGTGATAAATTTCAAGTGAAAACTGTGTTCAAAACTGACAATACAATGAGATCAATTCTAACTCAAACAAAGCCGAAAAATGAAGAACAATCGTCAAAAAATTGTATTTACAGTATACCTTGTGTTTGTGGAAAGTTTTATACAGGTGAAACCAAGAGACCTCTTTCAGTAAGGACGAAGGAACATGAGTACAATATGAAGAAAAGAAACACTGATAAATCGAAACTAGCTGAACATATCCTCACTGAAGACGGACAACATATGGCAAAGTGGAATAATATTAAAATCATTGAAAAAGAAGATAACAACCAGAAGAGAAAAATCAAGGAATCTGCTTGCATTCTTCTGAACGGAGACAATAGCATTGCTTCTTGTTCAGTTGATATAGACAGAACATGGTATTCACTACTAAAATCTGAACATGAAAATGATAAATTCAAAATTAATTAATGAAAACATCCTGTAACTCCTTTGATTGCCAACGTCACCAATTGTCATTGAAAACTGAAAAGCTTCAAGACATATTATACGACTTCGCAATTGAAAAAATCTCTTCATGTTGAAAACGGGAGCAGAATCGGTCCCGAAACGTCCAAAGATGAGTGAAAATTTGATATTTTTCCTCTTCTCCAAAAATTTTTCAATACAAATTGTCACTGACAAGCTAGTGAATTTTTCTTTTAGGCTCTCTGATAGGAAAATTCTTTAAACGCAGTGACATTTTGGGACAAATCATCTGATTTGTCCTTACTACACGTATATTGAAATAATATTCATATTTTTATTTTATAGAAACGAGGAGAGAAAATCCCAAAAATTTGGAATAATGGAAACTTTACAGCTGAAAGTTGCATATCGGTGGTTTAGAACCACAGGATGATGTCTCACGTCGCCCGAGTTGTGAGGAGTTATCTAGAGGAATTCTGCGTATCGCTAACATCTAGCTTAACCAGCTGAGAGCCCGAATTATAGATTGTAGATCAGTAGATGGGTCGTATAGGCTGGGAGACCTATCGATCACTGCGACCTAGAAGATCTATTGTGATTACCCTCATCTAGTTTTAGTCCTTTAACCCTAGACTTCTGATGAAGCCTAGAATTCTCCTGACGGTTGAATTTTCCACCTCAGCAGGTGTGAGATAGACCTGTTCTAGGTGATTTGGCCTTTGGCGGACTAATACTTCACATGAGAAAAGTACCTTTGTGTTCCGCGGTTTCGGTCGCATTGTTGCAAAAGCAGCAAGTGTCAGTCTCCGTCAGGCCCATCTTCTTGGGATGGTACCTCAGAGGGCATTGTCCTGTGAGGAAGCCTGTGATAAGCTTTAGCTCTGGTTTGCTGAGGCTGAGTAGCTCTCTGGATCGGCTCTGCGAATGGTTGATGAACCTTTTCGCTTGTCCATTGTCCTGGAGTTGCTCTCCAGTAGGAGGACTACTCAATTTTAATCCATTTTCTGAGTTCTTCCTTTAGGTGACATTTGCTTTTTCGACAAAAAGGCTCAGGACCAAAGAGTGCAGATGCTGCACCTTTATCTGCAAGGCGATCAGCTGCCTCATTCCCTTCGATTCCTAGATGCCCTGGAACCCACATAAGTGTTACTTTGTTGTTCTTCTCCAGTTGTATGAGTGTTTCACAGCAGTCCCATGCATTCTTTGATGTGAAAACAAATGATTTTGTGCGTCTCGGCTGTCTCAGCATCTTAATGAAGGTTTATCGAACCTTTCCGCAGGTGATTCTTATCCTTCGTGTTGTATGAGTGAAATATATGTAAGTTTTGGCAAGCCAAGGTTAGTTTATTTCACTGTACCCGTATTTCATCTGATGAAGCTATACTGTGTGAGCGAAACATGTCGTGTGATTGAGAGTTTTGTGGAAATCTCATCGTTTGTGAAGTTTCTACATTTAAAAAAGAAAACGTTGGAAAAAGATAGGGCTAAAGCATGATTTCGATTCTGACTCTATATAGTGTAACTTTTACACTTCACATGATATTACAAATTTCATGATAAAAACATTATGTGATTGCTACACCCGGTATGTATAAAATAGAAATTTTTATATGCGAATACAGTTTTCACACCAATGTTCAAAGGTGATACTCTGTTATTCATAACAAAAAACGTCGAAATCGGACAAGTATTTTGGCAAAAATGTTTCTCAAGCTTTTGGCTACTGCGGATCATGAATAGAGAAATAAGAATAATTCCTGCATAAATAAATGATATCATCTGAACGATAACCTTCTGCATAATTTTTTCACAACCACAATGCCACTTTTTCAATCCTAGCCCGGAAAATGCTAGTCCGTTGTGGTAAATCAAGGACATATGATTGCCCACTTTTTTTCAAATCGTTTGATTGATTTCTATTGAACGATTATTGCCTAAGTCTTGGATCATACTCTCATATCATCGACATGAGTACATATCATGTTTTTTCCATTCAAATTAGCAACATTTTCACGTGAATAAAGGAAAAATAAGTCAATACACGTAGGTTAGATAGTGCAACTAACTATACACCTTTCCTAGTTGTATTTCAGAGAACGTCAACTGTATTTCAGAATATTCCAATAAATTTCAGAAAGCCTCCATTGTATTTTGAAATAATCACCCGTATTCACACCAAGGGGCATCAATAAATGCCCCAATTACCGAAACTGATTCACAATACCTCTTTTCCATTTAACAATGCATTGCCCAACATTGCCCTTCAATGCCCAACATTGCCCCGCATTACGAAAATACTATCTCTTCTCATCGCATGTGTTGAAAATCGACGAGTAATATGGAAAAAATAACACTATCTTATATCTCCTACTCCTACATAGTGTTTCAATTGTCATAATAAATTATCTTATTCAACAAAAATCAATGAATAGTTGTAAAGATTTCATCTGAAAATCACCCATAAAAAGCAGTCGAGTTTAATCATATTTATATAAAACAAAAACAACTTGGGACTTGGTATCAGACGAACACGGGCGAACAATTTGTATATATCCATATTTTCAAGGGATTCCATTTGTGATGAAGTGATTTTTTTATGGAAAAAAATACGAAGTGAACAAAGAAACAGAAAATTCTGACGTAGAGTAAAAACATTTTTTTATGATACTCTCCAAAATTTAAGTATTTGAAAAAATGATATGAGAATTTTGTTGAACGGATTTGAATAAGTATAGAAAATCAACTGGAGAACTCGCTGGAAAGCTGAATAGGCTGAGCGAATGAATACAATTCGAAAACGATTTCCACTATAAGTTGTAGGTCCAGCTCTTACTAACCCTACACGAGTTTCGACTCCTGGAGAGTTGGTTCCCAACTTCGAAGGAGCGATTTACTAAAATACCGTAGGAATGCGAGACCATTATGAAGCCAGTCCTAGAGCATTATTCTACATCAAAATGGAGGCGGAGGCATCACCTCGAACAACAGAAACGGATGCGCGCGTAACAAATTTAACCCAAACATTGCATATTGCCCTTTCAGTGCCCTTTCAATTCCTTTCATTGCCTAACAATGCCTCACAATGCCAAACAATGCCTTGCAATGTACAATACCCGATATTGCCTCGCATTACTCCGCAATGTTCCTAGGATGTACACCTATTGCCCCATGTACTTACCCACTCCTAATTATCATGTACTAATGCATTTTTCGAATAATTTCGTTGGAGTGTTTTTCGAGTACACTGAGTACACTAAAATAGTCAAATTTGACATTTTCGGAATATCCATGTTCTGAATTTGATTTGTTACAGAATCTGATAGGAAATACACCTGCCTCAGATGCGGGAAAAAATTCAAATATAGCAGGAATATGTCGGACCATCGAAGATACACTTGCGGCATACCAGCTCAGTTCAAATGCCCGCATCCAGATTGCAGTCATGTCACAAAGCTGAAAGGGAACTTGAAGAAACATATTATTACCAGGCACAATAATACATATTATGATAAGTACATTGCATCATCCCATTTTGGTTGAGACTTGCAGGTTTCTCCCTATCCAGTATCCTCACTATAGGTACGCACGATGTTCTTCGAATATTATAGGAATTCCCTTTCGTGCGCTCAAAGCGATGAAAAATTACTTATTGAACCTTGTTCTCACGTTCCTGTCACACTCTTTTCAAAAATAGGTATATGTTGAACTAGGCAGCAAAGTAGTAGATTGACTGCCGAGGCTGAATTCATAGCCGAGCGTAGCGAGGCTTAGGAATCCAGCTAAGGCAGTCAATCTACTTTGCTGCCGAGTTGAACATATAATTTTTTCTCCGATTGTTCATAATGATATAGGAGGATATTCTAATTGCAAATTATTACAATTCCCACAATCTCTTTATTTTTCCTGTAGTGTTCAATTAAAATGAAATTTGATAGAAATCGCAGTTGTCCATGATGATTATAGTTTGACAATTCATGAAAATTCTGACAGTTGTGCGAAAAAATATCGGTATATTAAATTATTATATAATGGACAGTGATAGCGACCTGCAAGTACTCACACAAATAGGGGAGGTGGCAAAAAATATAGAGTTGAATTCGTTGCCGGAGGAGTCTCGAATGAACGATTTATGGATTATTAATTTTGCTGATACATATCAATCAGCAAAGTAACCACTTTTACTCACGAGGCAAATTAATATTTGTAGACACACCTCGGATACTTACATCTACGATTTCAAGCCTTGCAAAACATTTTATGAAAAGAAACTTCCTCTAAAATTGATAATTAAATTTTTTTCAATTTGTTTCCAACTTTCCGGTGTCCGATGCTTTTGCGCGATATCTCATTTATCTTTGGAAATAGAGGGTTGCGGTTTTCACATTTCTCCCTTACTTTTTCGTGAAACGAATAATGGCGGCAACATATTTCTCATAATCCCTCATGTTTTCGAGATATAAGTGCGTAGTTGAAAATTCCCACTTTTTGAGCACTTCCCGTATCTTGGTTACTCTTGTACTTATCGGCAGGTTGAGTACGGAACTTTTTATAAAAAATATATGATGGCTCATTTTTTTCTACAGGGATCTTAGGTAAACCTTCAGTGTATTTCACAATGATATGTTGTTTCATGTTTTCATAGAATTAATACCAGAATTTCAATGACATATAGGATGTTATATCATGACAGGTATGGCTGTTTTTGACAGATAAAAAAAAATACAATGAATGTACTCCTCACTACATTTGTTGATGAACAAAAAGGGATGGGTAGTTGTTCGAAAGTTATTGTCCCTTTTCTAGGTGTGAGATGTGGTGTTTGCTGGAGGAAATACAAATCTCAGAAAAATTTGAATCAACATCAGCGGTACGAATGTCAAAAGGAACCCCAGTTCTGCTGTCCATATTGTCAATATAAGGCCAAACATAAGTTCAATTTGAATAAACACCTAAAAAGGATTCATGTATAGGAATTTGTGATGATTATAAATCATTTGGAAGATTCCAGGTGTCGTATTGTGATTATATCTACATCAGTCAATTTGCCCCTGGGATTTTCCTTGCATGGTTGACCTAAAACACATTTGATTGATTCAACAAAATATGTTGTTTTCACGAAGTATTTGTTGATACAAAAAATCTTTTTTATTTTCGTGTGATCATTCGTGATTCAAGTTCAAGTGAATATGATCAGTCGATTCAGATATATATACAGGAATTTCACCATGAAAATCTTCATGTACTTTGTTCTGATTATATAAACTTTGCCGATCTGGCGAAATTCATCTGATCTTTGTTCTAGAATTGTACGCATGTTCATGCGGGAAGAAGTATTCGAAAAAAAGGTCATTAATGTACCATAGGAGCCAATACTGCGGCAAGGAGAAAAAGTTTGTCTGTCCAGAACTTGAATGTTCCTACAAGACCCACCTGAAAACCAATTTGACAAGGCATCTCTTCATACATAGGAAAAAGGAAAACATGCATCAAACATTTTTTTATGAATCAATGTATCGAGAATAGAATATTATGTGATAAGTCTTGTGTATATTCTTACGGCGATAGAATCATCTCGAATACATTGAAGATCAAGATTACTATTGGTTATGTTTCAAAAAATGACAAAAATATCGAATTTATACCGCGAGACTATAGAGGCACTCATTCGTTGAGAGGTTATTATGCCACTTTGTGATACATGGTTGGATAGAGAATTTCAAGGCGAAAAAGATAGACTGATGAAATGTACAGGGTGAAATTTAAAAAAAAAAGTTGGGGTCAGTTCCGGTCAAACAGTTGGTTGGAAAAAATTGTCGTTAAATTCGTGAAGTGCGCTACCATATTTATTATATACCCCCTGTAAATTTCAAAATTTTATCTCTTCAAATAAAAAAACTACAGGCTGCTATAATGCTTCGAGTATTCATATTCATACAATGTGCAGAGCACTGTGTCTTGAGAATGAAACAAAATATCATATGCTGTGGTGATTCTTCAATATATAGTTACGTATAATAATGTGAAATTGCTGAACTGGTATATGTGTATTGTCTTTATCATTTTCTGACCTTCATAACAGCTTCATAGCACCAAAAACTTACTCAGAAGACAACATTTCTTCAAATTAAAATGATTATATTTTGCCATATTGCTGGATTTATTATATGTATCTATACTAATATTGTCATCTTATAAGCAAGGTATCATGAATCTCTTTCGGAAAAAAATACATTAGATTATTCTCGAAATAATTATCATTGGTGATCTAATCATTTGATAGGATATTTTCTATTTTGCGTCTCTCATGACGACGTATATCGAAACAGCTTCTATTAGAACATGCTGAATTTCTTTTTTCCACGTTGGTGATGGTAACGTCAAACTGTCAGGGCAAAATAATTTTTTAACCATATCTGTCAAATTAATTTTTTGTTACCAACTACTCACTCCATATATCATTTCCAGTGGATATTTCTATTGATGAAATTGACGCACTATATATATAATTTTCTTATAAAAATTGTATAATATCATACTTTTCTACAACCGATTGGAATGGCCCTGATTCCAAACGTTTTCTCTAACGATATTTCAGATAGGTTGACAGCAATGCTAAAATAATTCATTCATTGTCAATTTGACAACATATACATATTATTACATTTCTAGTTCATTTTCACTTTCTGAATCGTCTTGTCGTTCAATTTATACCTACCTACCCTATATCTTGAAAAGTTCATTATTTTGTTATATATAGATTTACATAAATTTTTGGAACTGGCATACTAGTGTCCTGTGTATTGGAGTATAGTTAGGTTTGTTCTGCGTTGCACAAAAGTCTCTTTTTCAACACATTGTTTATCATCGAATTACTTTCGGAAGACGAATCATAATCCCTTTCAATATAATCCGGAGATGAAACCAACTTTCTGTGAGAATCAGAATTCGGCTTGTTCATCGTAGTTATGTATCAATGAGATTTCATTCTCAAACATAAAGACAAGTAAATTTGACCAATTTCTGTGTGTATATTATTGAACTGTACAGAAAATCAGACAAGAAGATTCATTGAATAATCACGAATCCAGAAAGGCAATAGAAATATACTCATTTGAATTTGAATTCGAATATATGACTTTTTGGTCTGGTATAAGCGGTAACGTTGTATCACATGGGCATGGAAAGTTCAGTTTTGGTACCAAATCGCAATTTTTCATCACATGGAGTTTCGGAAATACTCGAAAAATTTCATCTTCGGGAGCCCATTTTCAGGGGGTCGTGGCTTTCCTCAGGAGACATTTCTTGTCTCATGTTTATTCAAACTTTTCTCCCTTTTTTCATCGTAGAAGCCACTGTTGAAGTTTGGCAGGGTAATTTCGGGAAACCCTGTATATTCATAGCATCGTTTACGAGTTTCGTACCTCCCTGTATATTGAATCGTATGTTCTCCGTGCCACAAAAGATTTGTGAGGCCAAATCACCCCTAGGAACAAATTTTCATTATTCTAGGATCTAGGCTGTAGCGCTCTTAGAGAAACATTTTTTCCTATTTCTTTCAACAGAATCTACTTCCGGAGTATACGAAAGTTATACTGGGATATATTGAATCGTTAAATCATGGGCGATTATTGAAGTATAACAACATTTCCAGAATTATCCAATTTCGCAAGTTTTCCTGATAAACCTTTAAGATACTATCGTCCGTGAGAAGCTTAATCATTCCATGTTGCTTTCAGTTCTCTGGTGATTTGTCCATCCTACCGGAAATTTTGAGAAGAGTTTGTAACTTATGTGGTTGTAATTTTAGATTTCCTAGAATTTGATCAGATCCTCATCCCACCAAACATCGAGAAACTATTGAACAGTCCCTCGAAAAAGTCCAAGGAAGCCAAAGAGAACAGATCCCTAGTCAAGCAGTCTCCTGAAAACCCTCTCCGGCCCGGATACAGCCCGGACTCGCAGTTCGCCTGTCGCCATTGCGGAAAAAGGTACAAATGGAAGTCGACGATGAGGAGACACGAGCAAGACGAATGCGGGGACCAAGAGCCCAAATTTGAGTGCCCTTTTTGCCCCTACAAGGCGAAACAGAAAGGGAATTTGAGGGTGCACGTGCGGAAGCACCATTCTCCTTCTGGTCCCAACGAGAACGCGAAGTCTGATTACAATCATTTGAATCCATTTATTTTGAACATTTAGCTATATACAAACATATACTTGATATAGGCTGGAGTAGGGATCTAAATGCTCTTTTCAATAATAGCGCCACTACTGAAAAAGGACAACATCATCATGGCATGTTGCAGATATGCCTATGTTAATTATTATATTCACCTATTCTCTCGAGAGTGGGGATGAATGTGTTTCATGCTACAATGATGCTACTAACGAAAGGGCTTTGTTTCCCTAATTTCAGTCATCTTCTCATTTTTGTTTTTCATTAACCCGGCTCCTAAATTAATGGAAATCGATAATGAATGAGAAACACTAATTTTATGTTGTGAAATTCCAATTTCCGATTTACTCAGTTCAAGAGCGTGTAGAGCGATATTTTATATTTCTCCTTCCGAAAACAAAGCAATATGATAACACACAAAATCCCTAGAAGCAAAAAAATACAAGAAGTCAGTACCTGCTGCTATATACATATTGTACAGTGTGACCCATTTAAGATGGAAGCACCCTTACATTTTTCAACCGATTGGAATGATTTTTTTTTGTTAGGTAGATATTCAAAAAGTCCATTAGGACACCAAATATCATGAATAAATCTCCATTTCCAGGGCCAACTAATCTGATTTTTCAAGGTCAAAAATCTAAAAAAATTACTAGCGATTTTTTTAGAAAAAATCTGACTACACCACTGGATTTGTGACATTTTCAAATGGGTAACATGTAGATTACGTTGAAATGCGTCAATCAATAAAAAAGTTATAAAGGAATGAAATTTGAAAAATATGCCGTTTAATCAACCCATCAATTTTTATTACTGAACAGATTTCGATGAAACTGTGATCAGTAATATTTCAAGACATTCTGAATCCAGTGGAGTATACAGAATTTTCATAAAATTCCTGAACATGAATTGGTGGGTTGATTAAACGGCATATTTTTCAAATTTCATTCCTTTATAACTTTTTTATTGATTGACGCATTTCAACGTAATTTACATGTTACCCATTTGAAAATGTCACAAATCCAGTGGTGTAGTCAGATTTTTTCTAAAAAAATCGCTAGTATTTTTTTTAGATTTTTGACCTTGAAAAATCAGATTAGTTGGCCCTGGAAATGGAAATTTATTCATGATATTTGGTGTCCTAATAGACTTTTCAAATATCTACCTAACAAAAAAAAAATCATTCCAATCGGTTGGAAAATGTAAGTTTTATAAGGGTGCTTCCATCTTAAATGGGTCACACTGTATATAACAGGCAATTTCAGAAGTTCTTGAAGAACCATTTTTTTGACAAAACTTTGATATCGTTCTTTCCCAAACTATGGATATTTCGAAAATAGTTTCGATCAATTATTTTCTAAATATTTTCTAAAAAAATCCACAATAGCATTGTTCAACAATATCAGTGATAATGATATATATTTATAATATTATAAACTTTGTTATGAAACATCATTATATTGATTCAATCGTTATTGAGATTTGGATTACTGATAGTATACTTATCGAATTAATGTAATTATAGAATTTAATCCTGTTGAACTTTCTATTAAAATAATTTATTTTATTGGGTGTGGTGTATATTTTTAAGTAATCAAAATTGTCAAGAAGTCAAAACAATTTATATTTCAATTTTAAGTGAAATCAAATCAATGTTTGTGTTTCACATGATGTGAAAAAATCGTATTTGACATCACGCAAATAAGGTTGAATAAAATTGATTTAACTCGTGTATGTATAGACACACAGAGGAATTCTTGACTCATATCCATGAACTTGGGAAATGATACTTCAGTTCACAAAAATACGAAATATGATTTTACCTTCCAAATTCATCTCTGCAAGTGTTCCAAATTGCGTCACTACTTTCAATTATAGGAAATATCTGGGAAACCAAAAAAATTACCTCTGATCTTTTTTGCATCACTTTTCAATATCATTTATGAGGTATACTCACCCAAGTTTTTGCGTATAGTCTGAGAATCACCTTGTATACTATCAATCAACTAATTATTCCAGAATATCGTGCCTTCCAAAAAGCAATAAACCTGTTATTTGTTTGAGATATTTTATATTGTTGATATTTTTCTGTATACTTTAACAACAGATTTACGTACTTATGAAATATTATGTTAAAATATTTTTAGAATTATATACATTTTATCGAAATATTGTGTTTTTCCACCACATACCTATTACTTATCAATTATCAACAAAAATATCAGCAGGACTATTGGGCAGATATGGATAGACTCGAGTTTCCAGCAGTATGAGAATCTTTTCAAATGTTCTTTGTATGCAGTGATCTGTGTTAATCTTATAATCAAACTCTTTTTACTATTTACAATTGGTTCACGAGAAAAACACACCATTACCTATTATGATCGTAGAATATTTCGAAAATTTATTCGAATACATAAATTACACGGTGATCCATTCTGGAATATTGTCGTTGACAATGTTTCAATTGAATATTACTCCCTATATATATTTTTCGATCATCAAACTTTCACGCACATAAAATCTAGGGAATTTTAGGGTATGTGACCAAATTTCAAGTAGTGATTTCTACAAAGTGTAACAAATTCGTGGCCGAGCAATATACGTATTAATAAACAATACGGATCATAACGGGTGCCAGGATGAAGCCAAAAATATGAAACAAATGAATATCTATGAGGATTTGGTGGCATGATACGCATGCGCCATGCGCTATTATAGTAGTCATCAAAGACATGCGTTTCGGTGGACAATGACGTTTACTAGCCTTTCAATCAAAGCAGTATGTGTCTGATCGTTTCAAAACTTTTCCTTATGGATAGTCATTTGTCTTCAAAAATCGGCTTCATGTTTCGCTATGGAAACAGATAGAGATTATCCGTACTGATTATTAATACGGATATGGGCCGAGCATGGAGATCTCGGTGAGATCAAGAGATACACAGTAGGTTGAATCAGGGCAAAGTTTTACCATTTCATTCTCAACAAAATGCTGCTTTGACATTGGAAAAAATTCAATTCTTTCCAAGGATATCCAAAAAAAAAAAAATATTACTCAGGTTCGAGGAGATATTTCGAAATGAATATCTCTTCATCATTGTTTTTTTCCTACTCTACAAAATGGAAATCCGACGTTTCGTCTTCGAGCGGCCATCATCAAACTTTTTTTTCAAATATGGAACTGGATTTCTTTATTACATTTTTTCATAGTTTCCGATATCCTTGATATGATGGTGGATCAAAACATTAGTTGAAATGTTTGCTTCAATGAGAAAAATGTTTATACGGTATGGAGATACTCATCTTTGTCTAACAAAGTATTTCTGGTATTAATTTGTTTTTGTCTAACACATCATTCAGTTCGAAGTACCTTCCACATAATTGAATTGCTCCTATTCCGAAAGCATTATCATTTATACGAGGCCAAAAATTATACTTGAAAAATTGTTCATTATTTGAAGAAATAATATTTATGAATCATGAAAACACAATTTGATGAAAATGCAAGAATAGCGTAATTTCCTTTCATAGCAAATGCTCAAAAATATTTCTGTTTCCATCTAAGCATTCTTTTGCTTTTTTAAAACTCGTCTCACAGACCTTTCAACTTCCAACAGATCGCCTTCGTGAAGATCGAAAAGGTTATAATTTGCTGCTGCAGTTCTTCTATGAAGGCAATGAATCCGTTTTTGTAAACGGTGTTCTTTATGGCGCCTCAGAAAAAAAATCAAGTGGCGGTTTCAGAAAAAGCAAACAAATGTTTAAATGCTAACAGAAATAATTTTGAGCATTTACTATCAACAAAAACTTGAAATTCGGATTTTTCTTCATATTTGATATTATTTTTCTGATTTAATTGTGTTTTCATCATTCATGAATATTATTTCATGGACTAATGAACAATTGTTTGATCTCCATTTTTGGTTTGGTAAAACTGATAATACATATTGAATAAGAGCAATACAGACAAAGACCATAATACCAGAAACGCTGTATTCATTTGAGAAGTGATTTTATGTTGTTTTGGTGCTCTTACTCGAGGCATCTCGAGGCAGTGTCTTTCTCCCTGCTTCCCTCAGTATACATATTTTATAAGGTGACTTAATGAAATAACTGACTGAATTGCATGATGAAATAGCAATTTTGAAAGGAATGATCTCGAATGTTTCAAGATATGATTGTTTCATGGAATGGCATGATTTATGTTCCACTCACCCCACTGATACAACTAAGTACTAACAAAAAAACAGTTTTTAGCAATTTACCTACTACTTTGAAGAATATGTTTCTCATGTCCCCTCCTACCCACTTCCTATACCCAGAATCATCTCCGTACTCAATACCGAACGAATACCAAACCGAAATGACCCATCACATTGAAGATAACAATTCGATCCAGAGGAATAGGACCTGTATCAGCAGAGCTCAGACAAATATCCTGCAGCAATCTTTCGAAGAGAATCCTTTTGGCAATAAACGAATGAAGGTTGTACTTGCAACTCTAACTGGTTTACCTATCAAGGTTATAAATAAATGGTTCCAAAATAGGAGGAGGGAGAAACGGTGCAAGGAAAAGAAGAGGGGACACCTAAAACGTTAGAATATAATATAATATAGGAATATATAATCCGTAGGAAAATATTTCATCAGATTGGTAATTCATAGGAAACGTAATCGGTCGAAACTATATTCTTTCGGAACGTAATCGTTCGAAATGTTACACGTAGTACTTCGATTGAATGTAGAACACCATAACATCAAGTCATCAAGATGTAATTGATCAGCTTGATAATCAATAGGAAGCTTATTCGACCTTAACAGTATAGTTATATCCATCATAAACTAATCCGTTGCGGCAGTGAAACATTTCGTCGGAACATTATTTCTTATAGTGACAGGAAATAATCAGAATCGCATTCCATCAGAACGGTATTCTATCAGAAGCGATAGTCATTCATTGCGGAATAGTTCAGTGTCAATCAAGTAGTGATACACTGTAGTGGATCATCGTGTCAAAGGTTCCAGTACCGAAAGAGTATCATTGTGATTGTGACGAAATACCGTTCTGCTACAATAGGGTTCCTATAGGAATCACCGTTCCTAGTAATTTGGGTTCATAAGAATTCGATTTTGATGAATCACGGTTTCCATGAAATACAGTACAAATGATTCACAGTTCTGTTAAAATACGATCATGATGTTCAGGTTGAGTGAAAGAGCGTCGTTCCTGAAATTGGAATGCTGTATATACAATTGAAGGAGTGCGAACTTTGTCTTTGCTATGCAGTCACCCAGTACTTCATGATATAGAACGTATAAAATATCAATCTCTTGTAGATGTCCATGTTTGCTCAAAGTGGAGTACAATATTTCAAAGGAAAGAACCCATTGAACATAAAAATATAACTAAAACATAAATGGGCAATGGGCCTTCTTGCCCCTTTTGAATATCACAATGTAATGTTAATGGTAAAATATTATATAAATATATCCGGAACTACATGAAATCAATGTTATTTCATAACGTATATTTAATGTTACTCAAAACATCTGAATCATCTGAATGATCTTCAGAGAAGACAGAGAGGATGATCTATCCCTGAATATAACTGTGTTAATGAATTGATCTTGCCGTACTCAGTTACACAGTGATATTATGAGTCATACCTAGCTTAGGTATATGACTTCTACATAATCAAGTGATCTTTCACTGGACCATATTGTTTTGAATTCTGAAAAGTAATAGGTAAATGAATATACGAGTTTTTGGAAATTTCCTGACCGATTTCGAAATTTTATTCTGACTAAGTTCTGCTTCATTACTCACTCATTATCCTGGAAATTCGTGAGATTTGAAAATAATCAGCATTTACCAAACTTACCTTTCCACATATTATGCAATACAGATATTGATTGGGTTGATTCTCTATATTCCAGCAGAATTATCCTGGAATTTAAGTCGGTATCATGAGCAACAAACAAAATGGCTGAAATGGAATCGAATTGACTTTTGACAGTTGACAAGGTAACCTACTTTGCCGTAAAAAAATTGTATCCCCTTGTATCCTGTATACATGTAAGCTATGTTATGAGGTGGTGAAACGAAAACGTTGCACAAATTATATAACAACTCTGTCTGAGATATATCTGAACAACCTAAAATCAACATACTACAATATTTTCTAATAATATTGGTTTCAATATTGATGCAATGTCTTATAAACGATTCACTCCATAATATTATGTTGGACACTTCAGAAGGACACTATCGCAATATTATTTCTATATATTATTATTATAATATCACAGAACTTATATGTGCAAAATATTTTTGTTATGTATCATGTTTAGTGGGCAGGAACGCTCGAAGTCATCTCCTCAACTCTTTAAAAGATGTTAGTTATTCAGAGGGACAAGTTTCGGATTTGTAAAAATCCATCTTCAGCCCGAACAAGACAATACTACAAACATACATAATATCATGCAATATTTGAGAAATCAAGAAATTGGACTTTCATGGAGTGAAGTTAAAACTTACTGTAGGTGCCAGTGCCCATCGTCATAATGACGTCGAAAGAATATAAACGGGTTCTAATGAAGGGTCCCGTGCCCTGAGAAAGATTTACCAGTGAATATTCAATTTCCAGTTCCCAAGGGGAAAATTGAAGAACATTTGCAGAAATGCCCATCTAAAGCATTTTTGAAATTATATACGGGAATGAAGGTCCTGTGCCCTAAGAAAGCGTCACTCATTAAATAAAACCAAATAAATCAATAATTTGATGGAGCAAAAGGCTCCAAACACGTGTCTCGAAAAACACAATCTAACGAAAGATCTTGTTGTCTATTTTGACTCACATTACTAAAATTATATCATCAGCTAAAAGAATGTTCCAAGACTTCCAGAATCAAGAAAGTTATATAAATCTTTTCAACTCATATGTGCGATCGCGGTTAGAGTATGGTTGCCTTATATGGTCCCCTATATATTCAACATATAGTCAGTGTCTAGAGTCAGTACAGAGATTATTCATGAAATATGTTGCATTCAAAATTGATGGGATATACCCTGAACAGGGTATGGACAACGCTTCACTGCTGAATAGATTTTCGTTACTATCTCTCGAAGACCGAAGATAGTATTACTCATGTATATTTATTTATAAGCTTACACATAATCTTGTGGATTGCCCAGATCTATTGTCACAACTCAACTTCCATGTGCCTCGCTTGAATAACCGAAATGAAACATGTTTTTATCATTTTATCTAACAACACCAAGAACAAATATAATAGCCAAGTCTCCCGTATACCGAATCTGTAAGAATTTTAATAATATCTGCAATCAAATAGATCTATTTTCAACATCAATAGGATGTTTCAAAAATAGTTTAAGAAATACTCTCCTCAGAATTGAGATGTAAATTTATATTCAATTGTAACTTATTATTCATCATTCTTGTACTAAGTTTGCTGTGTTGATTATGTTGCTTGTCCTGTAATTGGGTGTAATACCTGTTTGGACAATAAACGGTTTTTTTTCAATTTCACCACGATGGATTAAAACACGGAAATATTATGTGTGAAAGACAATGACATAAGTCGATGTCTTGAATGTCGCGAAATTATGATGGAGAGCAAGACACGAACCAACAAAAGTAAGAGTAACCACAGGGATGTCTGCAATATCACAACAACTGTTCCCGAACAAGATGAAATAGGAGTAGATTCTGGTGGAGAAACAAATATTCTGGATTTCGGAAGATATAGAATTAGTGTACCTGATATTTTTGTAAACTATTGATCTAAGATCAACAACCGAACCAAAGAGTTTGCTTCAGGTGAGGTCTGAAGCACCAGAAGTTTCAATATCTCTTGTGACGTTGCTGGTTGTGCAATAATAGTTCATTCTGTTTAGCTATATCACTGAAATCATTGCTCTTTCTGAAGTATTTTCAAGAAGATTATTTTAGTAGCAGTGATGTGAATTCAAGAGTTTGGTTCATGACAATATCTTGATTTCAGGTTCAAATTTCGAATGTTCAAGGTGTTCTAGGAAATATGCCACTAGAAGATCCCTTAATAGGCATTGCAAGTTTGAATGTGGCGTTGAGAGAAACTTCAAATGCAGTCATTGTGACTATACCTGTAAGCGGACTGATAATTTGAGAACACATGTGAGGCTAAGACATGCTGACATTTTAATATATCACTTGTGAAGTGACTCAGTGTACATTTTTTTGAAGTTCTGTCATTTCAACCTTTATCCTATGGAAGTCAATACTTTCATTCAATCCCCTGGATCGCATGAAACTTAATCCCCAAGGTGATCCCTATACACTGAAAAAAAAAAAAAAGATGGTAGTCATTACCAAACGTTTAGTAAAATAGGGGCCAGTCACAACTCTCATCAAATGATACCACTACAACATTATATAATACTACACTAAATCGAATATTACCACTGCAAAATAGTATAATACTCATAGTTAAGTGTAGTACAACTTTGTAGTGGTATTATTTGATGAATGTAGTGACTGGCGCTCATTCTACTGAACGTTTGATGGTATTCACTACCGACTATTTCTCTGAGTGATATTATAATCTCACACAGAGAAAATTTTATTTTTGATTTCAACAATTCTATTCAAATTGAAGAAATCTGGAGTTTGAATAGGCCCAACAAATTAACTTCTATTCATTTGGAGTTTGGAACAATCAATTTATTTTTATTGCGTAGGGTGGCTGGAATTCGAATCTCATCATTGGGATCTCTTCAAACTTAAAATATATACTTGGTCGTTCAAATCATAGCAAAGTTGCACAATTTCATGCCTAACAATATGCCGTTTTGAAACTTGTTGAATCCCAAATATTTTCGGAGGGATGCAAAAAAAACGAAATTCACTAAAACCTTTTTCATTATGTTTTTTTTTCGGGTTATTTGAGGAAATTAGTCAAAATTAATGACACTTCATCAAGGCCACTTCTTCTTCCTACAAGTTGTCGTTTGCAAATTTGAAATTTGACGTTTCGTCTTCCATAAACCATCATCAACTCATTTTTTTCAAATACCTGGATATTTTATTACTATTTTCCGCATCTCTATGGATATTTCAAAAGCTATTAGTAATCACAATTTTTCATTTTCGAATGATTCGTTTACAAAAATATGGAATCTTCTGCATTTTTTCAATATACTCTTTGAGTAGTCAATGTTAATTTATTGTTCGGTGTGCTCAGTTATGCATCCATCATAAGACCATTTTTTTCATTCATCTTCATCAGATTTTATGATTGATGTAGTTGTATTTCAGTTAAGAATCACAACTGCTGCAAATCTTTCGATATGGCGATTCGATTGATAGCAGAAATAAATAGGAACGTCAAGAATCTGAGGAAATCCATTGGAAACGTGCAAGGTTCTAATATGTCTGGATTGTCTAGTGAAGAGATAGATGTGATCACTGGTAAAATACCATGTCAGTCAATAGAGGAGTTGGTAGTACTAGAGAATTTGATCGAAACAGATACCAATGCACGAGATTTGTTGGTAAGTGAAAAATTTGTCCGTAAGAGTAACGCTACAAATTTTATCTCTATTATACAGGGTGTTTTATGATATATGCGCATGATTTTGATAGCTAGTTGGAAAATATGGAAAAAAGTTTTTACTAACTATAACTCTCTGAAATGCTCTATTTTCGAGATACAGGGTGATGAAATTAGTAAGAAATAATCCTTTTTTGCGAATATTTCTGGAACTGTTCATCGCACAAAAAACAGCTTCAGTAAGAATTTCATACCCAAGATTAGCCCCGTTTTTATGTGGATTTTCATTATTTTCAGGTTATAATTGGTAGAGATTTTGAAGGGGTAGTGAGTGTTTTCCTCTCCAACTTCTACGTCACTGGAAAAAGTACAGTTTTGAGCAACGCATTTGAACTGCCAATATTTTTCGAACAAAAAAGTTATTCTTGGTCAAAGGCTCTGAATTTGACCGTTTTCGAGAAAAATCAACTGTTATGTTGAAAATTATGGTAATTTTTTATTGAATTATTGTGTGCATTGAAGCTACTCGTTGATTTCCCAACAATTCTTATTTTACTGAGTATGATTTGCTGTTGATTTTTTTTCTTGTTCAATTTCTCATTGAAGTTACCTTTGGTTTTGTTAATTGTTCTCAAGTTCGAATAGATTTTGTTCAATTGGTAAAAAAAAAATTCCGAAAATTTACCATGATTTTCAACATGAAAATTGATTTTTCTCAAAAACAGTCAACTTCAGAGGTTATGACCACGGGTTTCTTTTCTATGTAGAAAACATTGGCCGATCGAATGGGCGGCTTATAACTGTACTTTTTCCAGTGGCGTAGAAGTTGGGGAGAAAAACATCCATTATCCCTTCAGAAAATTCACCAATAGGACTTTGAAAAAATAAATTCCGCACAATACTTAGCTCATTATCAGTAGCAAATGCTTACGAAAGGTGTCCTCTATGCAATGAACGGTTCCAAAGATATTTGCAAAAAACGAATTTTGTTTTCAAATTTCAACACCCTGTATCTCGAAAATGGTGCATTTTAGAGGGTCATTTAATGAAAACTCTTTTTATATTTTTCAACAAGCTATCAGTATCTGAAGTTCTGCGCATATATTATGATGACCTATACAATTAAATCTGCCAATGCCTATTGATTTTGCCATCAAATGAGTGATAGTTTCCAAAGGCACTCTTTATACTGGGTTTTTCCGAAATCAGGGCGATCAATATAATGGGTGATAGGAGACGAAAGAACAAAACAAAATGAAGGAAAACATTTTTGTCGAGCAACAAATATTTTGAAAGATATTGAGCTTCAAAGTTTCCTTCAAAATTATGTTGATCATTGATCAGAGGTTTTATAGCCCAACCGAAGCATTCACTTCTGGCGTGAACACAAGCACCGAAATTATCAATGACATTCGCAATGTTGCTGGCCGTTGAATAATAGTTGGGAGATGTAGTATGATAGGAGCGCAGATTTTTTGAAAAAAACCAAACCATTTTTCCTCTGATTTATCGTGTCAATTTGTCTCATACACTGATAAAAAAATGGAATAACGGTTAAAAAAAATTCAATGACCTTAATTGAAAAAATAATGCTATTCAATTCATTTTGCTACAACGACCCAATAACAGTTACTAGATAATTCAATGAAGGCTATACACAGTAGACGGATTGCGGTCATTAATCAATGTGTATTAATTCACTTGCAGTGTTGGATAAGCCTCATTGCGTAAACTTTAGTAAGCAGCATTGAGAAATTCGATAATCATAATTGCAGACTTCTATCGTATTCTTGAAAAAACTAGATAGCGATAGCCATAAATCATCAATCGTGGTACTATAATTAACGAGTATATTCGATGTTATTCACCGAAACCTATAACATGCCTAAAACCTCTGTATTGAAATAATTGATGGATTAAGTGATGTCAATCGAATTATTCTTCACCAAATAATTATCCAGAATAAAACAAATCTATTCAGCACATTCATTTTTTGGAGCTCTGTCAGTGAGAATCACATCCATACAACAAACTCTCGAGATACTCTTGGATACTGAGTATCAGGAAAAATGTCGGTTTTTCAGAAAGTTAAACAGGTTGTTCATGAGGAAAGTTTATATATGCTCTAAAATCTTGAACATGCAATGTATGTCAAAAATAAAAACTGAGCACCTTATTGTTTTTCAGATATACATATTGCATTCTGTAGGAGGATTATCTGGGAAAGATTTCACTCAACGGATCATGAGGAGATTGTTGACCAACGATTTGGCTCTGTTGTGCAGTTGGACTGGAGCTAAGAAAAATTTCGAATTGCAAAAACTGAGACTGATGGAATGCACGTACAGTGAGTACATCCCTATACATGAAATTTTGTTCTACGGATTTGTCGTAGATCAACCCTTGTATACAGGGTGTTTCACATGGAGAAGGATACACGGCGGTAGTTGCGTCTACAAGTCGATTCTTTAAAAATGATAGGCTGATATTTCTGTCCCCATAAGCAATTTGCAGTTAGAGTTCACGGAATCAATATGTTGTAACAAAATTGATGAATATTCGCTCGATATCATTTTTTTGCATAGGTAAATCAAAAATACTGATTTAATTAGTTATATATTGTCGGCTATATGGAAACAAAACGTTCGTATATAGTTCAAATCAGTTTTCGTTGTTCTTTTCGAATATGTGCAACCATATTTCGAACTATTCGATATACCTGGAGATTTTTCGAGGATGATGAAAACCCTGAATTCTTTCCAAGTCAAACCTCTAGTTTCGGATCTGTATCAGATTCCAAAAATCATTCATAGAAGGGAAGGAAGAAAGAAAAGCACTTAGTCGTCTCCACACAATTCAATGACGTTGTTAAACAATGTTTCGGTCATAGGAAAGCCATCTTCAGCCTAATTGAAAGTTCTATTGATATAGAGGGAATAATAGTATCCAGTATTGACTTACTCGATGGAATTAAGAAAATAACTAGTTAACATGCCTGCCAATGCCAATAGTAAAAAAAATCATTTGACAAATTGAAAAACAAACCTGTCCTTATGAGAATCCTAAAAATATCAATATGATTGATGAGTCACATGCAGTTAGCTCAAAGTCAATGGGTAAAACATAAAATTATGACATAATGACCTGAGGTATATCGAATAATAGTTAAGATGTACAGTGTGTCCAGTTTTCGATGCTTTTGCGTGATATTTCAGTTAACTTCGGAGATAAAATCTTGTGGTTTTGGCGGTTCTGTGCCACTTTTTTGTGAAAGTGAAGATGGCCTTATCAGATTTTGCATAATTTTTTTGGTTCATGAGATACAGGGAGATTTTGAAAATTTATACTTTCGGACCCCCTCTATATCTACGGAGTTTCACAGCAAAATTGTCAAATTAAAACATCATCACAAAGAGAATTCCACGCAGAATTCAGTGGCACAAAAAAAATATTTTTCGGGTCACGGTTTTGTAGATTCGACTCAAACTTGTGGTTCCTTGAATGTATTCTATTAGTTCATTGAATTCCTTTATTTCTTCCTTTAAACTGACAATAATGTCTACCTACATATGAAATCTTCAGAAATGCTTCAAAATCATCAAAACATTGAATTATAATAGGGGGCTATCCATTATTCATATATACAGAAAGTTCCAATTGAAGGAATATTTCTCTTGATTTATCCATGAACAGGGCAACAAAAATACCAACAATACTTGACTTACAAAACACAAAACTAAGGTACCTGATAGCAACAAATGAATAGTGATTAAAAGTTCATAATGTAGTACGAACACCTGATTAAACATTTACCAAAACAATTGAATTTCCAAATTATTCAGTAACATATTCATTGAATTGTTAAAATATTCACACTCACAAACTTCCTCAATACGTCTCAATGCATTCAAAATCATTGAAGGATGTCTTTGTTATTACTGGAAAACTTCCTCTGTCGTTGGACGAGTTTCTTCAAGATTGTTGTGCCACTCACTATATTAAGACGTATTGAGAGAGTGCGTATTCTACATTATGAACTTTTTATTATCCACTATTTATTTGTTGCTATCAGGTACCTAAGTTTTGTTAGTTAATTCGGGTTGGTATTGTTTTTGTCCTCCTCATGAAGAAATCAAGCGAAATTTCCTTTCAATTCAAACTTTTTCTTATGAAAAAAAAATGATCCGTCAAAATGTGAGGGGAATGGTTCAGACCATGGAGGTGAAATATCGACGATCGAAATCTAGATAATTTACGAATTCAATGCAGTCACATAGTATCATTGACCTGACAGAATTATCATTGAAATGATAATTGATTCTCATAAATTCACAGTGATATCAATAGATTACCTGTTTGACAGACATGCAGAACTTTAAAAGGTCTTGATGATTGTGCTGTGAATTTAAGATATGGCTTGCAATGTTACTTCCATAGTATCATATACATGAAAAAGAAAGTTCTTGATGACTTCCACATGTTCAGTAATTCTAGTTAATCTTCCTGTCACTTTGTCCAACATATTGAATATATGAGTTCCTCCACCAATGAAACACCCTGTATTCCATTCATATTCCGCAAATAATACCTTATTCCGTAGGTGCGATCATAAAACAGATTCAGATTTCAAGAAAAGAATTCGAAATATATGTCAAAGATTGGCTTAGGCACGCCAAGCAAAGAAAAGAGAGGGAAGACCTCAAGAGGAATAAATAATGAAGACCAGCTAACGTAATCAATCCGTAATAAGGCTATATATAGGTATTTCTGTGTTATATTATAAGCATTGAGTGTAACTTTTCTGAATTTAGAGATTATCCAAATATAGGGCGTGTTTCATTTCGAAAATCCTCCACGTGCGTTAAAATATGACATTAATCCTTCTGTATTTTTATTATCGAACTTATCTTCGATCGACTTCAACCTTAAGAGGAACGGATAGTAGCCAAAAGGGGTCATTTTATGGCATTTCTAGAATACAAAATATGAGGACATCTTGCGTTTGTTTTGATTTCTGTTTTCGCTGTGTCATAGATATGGTCGTCGACTATGTTTTCATGGATTGTTTTTGATCAAAAAATGCTTTCATCGATGTAAAAAAAATTATCAAAAAGCGCTAAAAATTCAGTCATTTCCAAATCGAATAACTAATTCAAAATTGAATTGACAAGATTTAGCTCACCACGCAGACATACCTAAATATGTTCCAAATTGGTGAAAACGAAATCAAAATCCGATGTTTGGTTAGGTCTCAAAATGTATTCTTATGAACACACTTTTATGTATCAATTTCCGCTAACCAAATGTTTCATCCATTGTTCCATCTCTTTCTGATAAAACGGTGCAAATTAACATGCAAAACACAGAGCCGGTTGCAGCTCACGGAGATTTTGACAACAATTCCATAGATTTGGTTGGATTCAACTTGAATCGAATAATTGAACATTTGATATTGCTTATGCTTAACATTCAAAATAATAATAATGTATTCAATCATACAGGATGACCCTACAAAGACCTTAATATTTTAGTTAAAACGAATAATATTAATTATCATTGTACTTGATTGAAACATGATGAAATGATAGAATGTCTCATAATACTTATAACTTATTTAAATACGGTTACGATTTTATACGGAGTGATTAAATTTTTTCATCGAAAAAATTAATTTATGAAATATCTGATATTGAAAGACATATATAGGTACACTATTTTACAGGAACGGTAGTAACCGAAGAGGGGTCGATCAATTAATAACCATCCTGGAATACAAAATATAAGGATACCTATCATGCGTTTGTTTCGATAGGTATTTGGTTTCGCCGAGGATTTCGCTAAGTCATAGATACTTGATGGTAGTCGACAATGTTTGATCAGAAATTTACTGATCTTAAAATGTCATTGTTCTGAAGAACTTATATAATCGGAATAAAAGAAAGAAGTGAATCGTTGAAATCGCACTTTTGTGCAACCGTGTGAAGTTGTGGACAGTCGTACCGCAAAATCTCATGTTCACGCAAAATTACGCATTCTCAACTGGTTTCATGAACTACTATCATGTACAGGCTGTCCCATTTTCGATGTCCTTACGGGATATCTCACTAATTTCTCATAGCCTGCTTCGTTTTTGAGACAGGGCGAAATTGAAAATGTAGCATTCAAGGACCCTTCTGTATCTTTCAACTCATAGAAAATGTGAAAACTGTCTATCATACATTTTTTCTCGTAGAATCCAGTGACGTTGTCAGATTTTCAAAATAAGCTGTAATTATTTAGATATAACTCTAATTAGAAGTCTTACTGTCGAATTTTACAATTTTTTCATATAATTCGAATAATAATCCAGGATATCAAAACTACCAGAATTCAGAGAATAACTTATATCCCAACCATATCTAATGTTTCGCAGTTTTGATTTCCTGGATTATTATTCGTTATTGTATGAAAAATTTTCGAACACCGACAGGTAGTCATCAGGTGACAAAAACTATAAAACATTCGGCACTCGCTTTTTCTTATAGTCGCCTACTGATTAGGTCCACAGCTTCCATAATCAATTATTAATAGTGCTGAATATTGGTAAATGTTGAATTTTAGTAAAATTGAGTGTGTCACGAAACACTGTGTCAGCAACAAGGTAAATATGAGAATACTGCTACATATTTACAAGGCCCATCGATAAAAAATCTACTAAAGAAAACTATACTATACTCGAAATATCGTATTAGTGTTATATATTTTTGAAAAGTGCAAGATATCAGTGTTTTGAAATAATATGTAAAAATTATAAATCAAAAAAAAAAAAAACTTTAGGTCATATGAGTGTCCCAAAATTGCTGGGACACAGAGCTACCACGTGTAGAGGAGGTCAAAATAAGTTGATTGGACCTAGTGGTGCCCGCGAGAGTCTCGTTTTCGAGAGTCTCGCATGGTCTCGTCTCGTTTTCGAGACAAGACTCGAGACGAGACTCGGACAAGACGAGACGAGACTTTTATTGGTCTCGTCTCGAGTCTCGTGCAAGACTTCTCGTGTCTCGTGCGAGAGTCTCGCAGGTAAATATTTCTGCGTGCCGACTGCAGACTTGAGAATTTCATTCATAATGTAACATTATTTAAAAAAAAATCTATATGAAAACATCTAATGAATCTGCACGATGTTTGTTATGTCTTGTCGACTAGGTGAAAAACATTTGCGATCGTGAAGGCTGATCTGACTGATAATGGTTTTTTTCTCCAAGCGGCAGAGATAGTGGCTTTTCCTGCAGCTTATAGCAGGCAGAAAAGGTCGTGTACTTTTACTGCCTAGGAGAAGAAGTTTGTTGCTATGCAACGTTCCAAGAAATTCTAATGAAATTAGTAATCAAAATTGACACTGACATTGGGTGAACACAAAATGATAGAGTTTTCAATAAAAAAAATACACAAAATTGGTTTAATATCATTTGGAGAAAAAATTCTATGTTTCACACGGCAGCAAATGAAGATATACTACTTTTCTACCTAGTAAAACGAATAACTATTTTCTGGGATACCTATTTCTCAAATAAGTAAAATAATGTTGGATTAAAGTTTTTGTTTTGTTTATTTGTTTAGAATATACGTGTTACTTTTTATTCTATTTTCATAACTTTCGAATATATAATGCTTGTTTTAAATGTTTTTTTTCTTGTTCAGATGTATGATGTTAGTATGTACCTATTAGGCACTTACTTTTCAATAAATTATGTTATTTTTGTTGTAATTTTCTCTTCCTACTTCAACATTATTCCTAAAAAGTAGGTAAACGTTAATATCTCGTACTAGACTAGAACAAGAATATGCATGACGAAATTGCGATACCTTGCGAGACTCTCGTACGAGACGCGAGACAAGACGAGACTCGGGGCTGCGAGACGAGACTCGAGACAAGACTTTATATCTCACCGGCGAGACGAGACGAGACTTTATAAAAGTCTCGTCTCGCTGGTCTCGTGTGAATCACTAATTGGACCCAATTTATTAATGTGCCAAAATGTACTGTTTGTCCGTGAGAAGGGTTCAAAGTTCACTTGAAAAACACTAAGTTTTATATCACAATTTAATTAAACTTGTACTATAGGAATATCTGGTAGCATTATTTGAGAGAACATTTTTTTTCTTCGAAACTATTTGGTATACGAAATTTTTACAAGAGTAATAAACTGAAGGTGATTGATGAGTCTTCAAGATCAAAAAATTTTAGAACCGTATCATGACCCTTAAAAAAGTTCTGAAGAAAATGTCAGGGGGTGAGGGTGGTTTCAACCCTTCCACAATTTCTTTTAGGTTTCTCAGAAAACCAAAAGGAAAGTAATTCTCTGAAATACACTATTGCCAAATTTCATCGAATTCGTTCCACTTATTCCTGAACAGCGCACAAAAATGTGTTTTTTCAAGTGAACTTTGAACCCTTCTCACGGACAAACGGTACATTTTGGCACATAAATAAATTGGGTCCAATCAACTTATTTTGACCTCCTCTACACGTGGTAGCTCTGTGTCCCAGCAATTTTGGGACACCCTGTATATGAATAATAACAGCTTATCTTGAAAATATGACCACGCCACTGGATTCCAAGTGAAAGAATATATAAAAGACAGTTTTTACTTTTTATATAAGTAGAAATATAGCTAAGATACAGGAGGGTACAAAAATGTACATTTTCAATTTCACCCTGTATCTCAAAAACGAAAAATTATATATAGATGAAGCTCATCTCGCATTGAATAAAAATTTTAAAAATAGCTTAATGAGGGGATAACTATTAAAAAATTTAAGGGTAGTTGCCCTGACGGTCTTGGGGTTGAATAATATATAACAACAAATACCTCAAAAGTTGTCCCCTTCGACAATATTGAGTGCTGCTCGTTTTCAAAATGACACCCAGTATAAACGTAGGTAACAATTATGACAGAGAAATACGCATTTGTGAACGATTCACGAAATATACAAAAATAGTACTCACAATTTATTGATCTTGGATGATCATTTATAAACGTCTCCTGCTCTTTTATATATACTTGTTTCTTTCTCTTCAACTCATTCTACCCATTTTCACCTATTCAAAAGGTATTTTATATTCACGCACACATCAATGAAACTTCAATAAAACTACTCTCACTAGAAAATCGATAAAAGCGATAATAATAAGTATTATGAGCGGGAAAAAAATCCCAAATTCCTCACAACTCAATTAAAATTAGTTTAAAAATTTTGATTGAGGAAAAAAAAGAGAAAAAAGAGAGTCTGGAACTGGGATTCGAACTCTGAACCTCAGTCATCATCAGTCATACGAATCAGACGCTTAAAATTTGCGCCATCGAGGCAGTTGTGCTTTGTCTCTACATTTTAGTTCTGGTCTTTACAATATATTTTTCGCGTCTGCATTAAATTTACATTGCTAGTCTTCTGTGAATGCTGTAAAATGGCAATATGAGACCCGCTGAATGCCACAACCAGTGTTGCCAAGCTCTTTCTTCGAAATTCCATAGCTGGGTGCTGAAAATACTCTTTCTAGACCGCACAATTATTTTTATGCATTTTTTTCTCATAAACATTTTCGTTTTAATCATACCATCTCATGAATGAGTTCAGGAAATTAAATACATACGAATATCCTCACTTTCATTGAAAAAATTAAAAAAAAATGTAATTACCTACTAATGTTTTTTGTTACAAAAATAATTTACTATAATTACGCAGTGTAACATTGTTGTGGTCTGAAAATATTCTGAATGCTTGACACTAAAATACCTTGAGACGGAACAATTTCATGCTTTTGGCAACACTGTAACCAGAGCAGAGGATGAAAATTTAGAGCCGTTCCTGGAGAGGAATGTGTCTGTTGTGTGAAACAGACTCACACGGGTCAGTGTATAAGATGGAAATAGGTATAGTATCGTGAGGTGAAATATGTTTTTCTAGATTCGGATAGTACGTAAAGCAGTTTGAAAGAGAAAATGAGGATTTTGAACACGAAAATTTCTTTCCGAGTATCTTCCGTTCCTCTTAAACGTTCTCGAAGGAATTATAAATGAGATTCTTGAATATTGCCTGAACCCATAATAGGTGTACACCAATGCGTCAGCCTAAAGGCTCTGGATGACCTGCTATGGCAACAATTCCAGAGGTCTCAGGCAGAAGCAGGGAGAATGGGGAAGGCAAGCTCCATATCCCATGCAAACGTCAATCATACAACTTCCCACAACTGAACAGGAGTGAACCGGTCACTGTAGTCTCAGGAGACACATGGTCCTTATCGGTGTGGTTGAAGACTCAATGTGTCGACTTTCCGAGGAAGAGGGCGAGACTTCATCCCATATCCTCTGCGAATATCCCGCAGTAACTCACCAAGGAAGGAAGGCCTGAGGCTTTGCATATTTGGAGCCTAAGCAGCCAAGAAATATCCCCCTGAGCAGAATACTGACCTTCTGCGGCGAAATCGACCTTTTTTATGTTCTGGTTCTCACGAAAGGGGATATCCTGTAATGTTCAGAGAACATCATAGGAACCAAGGGAAATAAGGTAGGAATTCATGTTCTTCTTGAATTTCTGGAGGTTGTATGCCTCGGAGAACCCCTTCCTTGGCAATGTGTTTCACAGCCTCGCTGTTCGTTGGATGAACGAGTCTTTGGAAAGAGATGTTATGCAGGTCTCCAAAGTGACCACGAAGGGGTGCGAAGCCTCAACTCGACGGGTTAATCTCGCGGGGACTGCCAAGGGAGGAACAATTGTTGATATTCCAGAAGAGCATCGTCCATGAAAATATCTATAAAATAGAGCCAGATCGCCAATGTTTCTACGGTGTTTCAGAGAAGTGAGTGAGTTTGTGAGCGAGACATCACCCACGAGACGAATTGCCCTTTTTTGAACAGAATCCAACAGTTTCAGGGTATGTTTGCGTGCTTCACTCCAAAAATGAAATAGTATCCCAGGACAGGTCGGATCTGTGCCTTATAGATCATAAGCAGCTGACTGGAAGTGAAATAGCTCCTGGCCCGAAACAGAAAACCAAGTTTTTGGGGATGCACTTTTAGCAATTGATCTCACATGATTTTCCCAAGGAAGGTTATTACTGATAGTAATACCAAGCATCAAAATGGATGTCTTCGAAGGTATGGTTACTCCTGACAAGCTTATGTTGGTCACAGTGAGATCGGCTTTTCTAGAGAAAAGGCATGCTTGTGCTTTGTTTGCATTGAAATCTACCAAGTTATTGGATCCCCATTCGGGAATTTGTTGCCAAGTCCATACTGTTCAAAAATGATCAAGGACATATGAAATGAGGCTCCTCACCTCATCCTTGGGCTTGGGCTACGAGGCCGCAGGGACCCTAGAGCTGAGGCGATTCGGGATCTGGTGCTGGACTAGTGAGAGCTCTATAGCGTTGAACTGCGTGCGGGCTCCTAGGCTCTCTGCAGGCTAAGGGTAGGTTAGGTCACAAGTGAGTAGGTCTATTTAGCTCTTCACTGCGACCTATAAGGGTGTTTTGTGGCTCACACCAATTCATACTTCACCAAGTAGATCCAGCTTCTTGATGAAGCCGATTAGTTCACTTGGTGAATGATCTTTCAGGTCCGAGGGCGAGAGTGAAACCCTGCCAAGTTATGCCAAACATATACTGAACACCTGGACCACAAGAAAAGTTTCAGACTCCTGGCAAAATCTACCGGGATTGGCTCATTCCAACGCATTTACACATCTTTTGGAGAATGTTACCAAACAAATGGCAGAATACAGCATGGATAACTCACGCTCTCTAACAGGCCTTCTGACAGTTGTATAGGATCCAAGAAAGGTTGATATCTCTGTATAAGGTCTGCGACCGCACTATAGCGTGTGGGTGTTTCGAACCCTCCGTGAACTAACAGCTCTCTGCTTTCGGAGGAATCAGTCATCTCTATTCGAAATTAGGATGGTTCAATGCACGTCGTAGGTAACTGTTGAATGCATCATGTCGGAGGTCATTACCAGAATGCTGTGACTTTCTGTGTCCGCCAGTAGTCTGCTGCGCTCCGTGTTATCATGATTTTTGCAATTCGCAATGTGTGCAATTCTGTATGTTGTCCATCGCTAGCCTCTCCCTATATAGTAATGTGGAGCGAGGCGGTAGGTGTAGAAGGATTTTCATTGCTGCTGACGGTGTGGTGCTGATGGCCTAGTGATCGCCAGACATACCTGTCTCTGTAGGCTATAGGCACGGGGCTAGTGAGGCCCCTGCCAGGGGGCTCTTTCGGGCTTCTGGAATGAGCCGTGAGTGCGGATACAGATTGTTAGAGGTGTATCCATCCAAGCGGTCTGAGTTAAATGGAGCTCCCAAGAGCTTGCCCTCTGATTATACAGGGTTATTGGTAATTCGATACATTCCTTTGGAGATGTGATAGGGGATGTGATAGAGTGTGAATTTAAACCTAATATGCATCATGTGCAAGTGAATAGTTTTTGAGATATCCATGTCTTTCTGGTTATCTGTTCATTTATTCAAAAACAAAAATACGACTTTGTATTTACAATTTATCTATGATCTGAACTATTTCTCCTTTTTTTATTCCAAAGATGAGACCATAATGTTGATCATGTATTCTGGTTGAAAGGTTGAAAAAATGTAGATCAGATTCTCGGGAAACAATCTCTCAAACCACCAAAGTCTACCCTCTGGAGAAAAACAGAAAAATGCAAATATCTCAAAAACTATCACTTTCTGTATAATCTCCCCTAACACATCTCCAAAGAAATATATCGAATCACCAGTAACCCTGTAGATTCTGAATTTCTAATGGTTATTCACTGTTGCTCCATTCCTGACTATATAGTCATTCTCTGTTGGTCAGTTTCTTCCTCAAGGATTATATATACCGTCAGAGCGTTTCAAGCTACCATTCAATCAATCGAAAAATACCAGATACATTACATAATTTCGCGCAATTAAAGATTCTAAAGTGTGTCTTTATTTTTTCAGGTTACTACAGATGTGCTCCTTGTGGCAAAAAATATAAGGGAAAGAATGGATGGTACCAACATAGGAAGTACTATTGTGGAAATAAGGAACCACAGTTCGAGTGTAATCTCTGTCCCTATAAAGCAAAACTCAAGATTAGTTTATTGATGCATGTTACAAAAAAACATACCAATTTGACTAGCGAGCTTGAAAAATTTTGACATTCATCATCACTACATTACCGATATCACCATGCATGATACTTTAGGAAAAATGTGTTTTAATTACATTCAAGTTCCGAAATATTTTCAGTAGCAATACTATAGGTAGGTACTTTGAAATATCCGGAGGAGTGTCAGTTTATCAGTTGGAATACTCCGACCGCAGAGCGGGAGGATTATTTTGTTGAACTGACACGATTTGTAGTTGTGCGAGAAGTTTGAGATCTATAACCTTGATGATGATTTTAAGTTCCAATTGTATTAGATGCGATTATTTCTTGAGTAGTCCTGAACGATCGTCAAAATATGACGAAGATCTTTGTTTGTATGTAAAAATATGAAGTGGTTACTATGGAAATGGAAATAATCAAACATTTTTGATTCGTGGAACTCTATTTATATCCACTTATATTCGAAATTATACAAGGTAGTTCAACTGAATCGATCGTTCTTGTTGGTTTTAGATCATACGAAGAAAATAATCATTGGATATATCATGTCGTTATCTACGTATGTGCATATTTATATCTCACTCATTCAATGTATAATGATTTTTTCCTGATCATAATCACCTATTTATAATTCATGTTTTTTCTGATATATCATCATCATTAGAATAAAAAGAATAATATTCGCTACTCTACGACACTATATAAGAAGTATTTTATTTCACTACCCAAATTACATGATTTTTGTGGGATTTCTGAATCGATGCCAGTACTTTAAAGTGACATATTTCATGCGAGTAGTATATACAAGCTTTAAAGCATCGAATGCAAAAACATAACGAGTGCAGAAAAATTTACATAAATATCGATATTTCATCGGATTCATATTTCTTTCCACATTCGCGATCACATACCATTGATATTCAGTGGAAGAATTGCATCAAAAAACATCATCCTATTCTATTGAGAATGCAAAATTTTTGTTTCCAAAATTGATTCATTGGGATTTGGAACTCAACTCAAAACTCACAAAGTCTTCTCATTCTTATTCTCTGTTTTCATCATTGATGTACTACAATCTATCTATTCCTGAACGTCTAATGTTCAATTTTTGTTCATTGAGTGGAGTGAAGTTGTAACTACTAAATAATTTTCGAAGTCATCTCCACGACATTGTGGAGTATCATTTAGTATTTATTGAAAATTGCTTCATTCTGAGCCAGTTCCAAGCTTTATCCGCCGCTTTGAGTTCAACTTTTCCACTTCCATTTCCTTGTTTTTCTTCTGTTGATACTGATGGTAATCTTTCTGGTAGTGGTGCGCACCCCAAACCAAAGAAACACTGACTTTTGACTTTTACTTCGGTTTCTCGATTATCGATTTGTATATGACCAACTATCAACCAATTTTTGATCAGATAGTAACTTCATTGTTTCACGGAAGGAAAGGAATCGTTGAATCATGCGAAATTCAATTGAATGTAGCAAATTTAAGTGTCATATATGTACGACAAAATATAATCTTGAAATGAGTAAACCAATATCTTGTTTCAGAGCGGATTTGTTGTTTGGATCAAGTAAATATATGTCTTGCTTGAACTCTAGATTTTTCAGTCATAATGATGTCTTCCATGGCTATATTAGTGGAGAAAATATATATCGAATGTTCAGCAATATCCTTCATTAGTGTTGTGTATCTGATTATATTTTATTTACTAAAATGAGCCATATAAAACTGATGGTCTCACACATTCAGATTATAGAAGTTTAATATTAATGAAGATAGGTATATTTTTATCCCTCCATTGTGAAGTGAATGGAGTTTCATGCTAATCGGATAGCTGATGAATACATATGTTTCAAATAATGGAGGAGGTGAGAAAATAATAAGGTACTCGCAGTAATACACTTCTATGTTAATCATCTGTATACTGAAAATCCCTGTACTTATTTGTTTTAACAATGATTGGAGGCTATCCTGTTTATCCTTCAATTCATGACT